ATCCATACTAGGGATACAACAATCAACGGAGCCCAAGCCCTGGCTTGGCGTCATCACGTTCCCTTTCACTGCTGTAGAAATTTTAGCTCCATCCTCGCGTGACCATAATTATACGAGAATGGGTGGACATCATGTATTTGACAGTTGACTAAGTGCAATGAAACCATCAATGTTGTTGCTCTGTGCCATGACATTTTCATCTCGGAATCCTCAGATGACCTCACAACGCCCACACAACGACATCATACCCACCTCCGTATACGCATCCACATCACGTCTGGGGTCAATCACAAATGCCGTCTTTGCCTTGCGATCCCTGACAATGTAGGATGCCTGTGCCAGACAGCCCAAGTAGTAGATGAGAACTTCCACGTCGCCATCCGTCAGCGTTTCCCGATAGCCACTCTGTATGGTGATACATACAATCAGAGCATCAACCCACGCCACAAAGTTAATACCCGTACCGTTACTTTTTTCTTCTGTTAGGAAACTGTTGAGTGAAGGTCAGGAACATCATGACTCGCAATAGGGACCTTTTGCATATATACAGCGAATCGCATGCAAAGCACGAGAGTTCGAGTCGACTTGCCCTCGCTTCGTTGACACCCCTTTTCTAGTTTCGCAAGTCATCACAATAATGTCCATGGCAATGGCGAATCCAGCGTGCAGCTTGGCATGCTAAGCCATGGTTACGTGCTTAGAATAAAGCATAACAACTGGGAATGCATTCATGTGGAACATGCAATCGGAGTTTCTTCCTTCCGAAAAAAAAACTTTGCCTGGCAAAGAAATGCAGACTGACGGATTCGGAGCGCTCGGTGAATGAGGAGGCATGCATTCGCAAAAGTCTAGACCTCACAAGAACCTCTGACGAATCCTCGAACCCAGGCCACGAATCAGCATTTGTTTCGTATTCGTACGTGCGGTGCGAAAGGTCAGTGATATTCCTCTTCTTCTCCTAGACGTTTTTTTTGTTTTTGTTTTGGTGTAACGTTACATGTACCGTAAAACCTGTAACTAAAGACCAGCGTGACTAGCGACCAGCCTGGTACTACAGTAAAACTTGTAACTAAAGACCAGCCTGGTACTACAGTAAAACCTGTAACTAAAGACCACCGTGACTAGCGACCAGCCTGGTACTACAGTAAAACCTGTAACTAAAGACCACCGTGACTAGCGACCAGCCTGGTACTACAGTAAAACCTGTAACTAAAGACCACCCTGACTAGCAACCAGCCTGGTACTACAGTAAAACCTGTAACTAAAGACCACCGTGACTAGCGACCAGCCTGGTACTACAGTAAAACCTGTAACTAAAGACCACCCTGACTAGCAACCAGCCTGGTACTACAGTAAAACCTGTAACTAAAGACCACCGTGACTAGCGACCAGCCTGGTACTACAGTAAAACCTGTAACTAAAGACCACCGTGACTAGCGACCAGCCTGGTACTACAGTAAAACCTGTAACTAAAGACCACCCTGACTAGCAACCAGCCTAGTGCTACAGTAAAACCTGTAACTAAAGACCACTTTGCCAGGCACGGTGTAGTAGTATCAGTGTTGACTTGTGCATGTGTGCCAGCAGTAGGTGTCATCAGTCAGCCTGGACGATAGATCGGCATAGACATTACTGTGCTGCACGTACTCTGACTAGTCGGTTAGAGATGACTATACAGTCGACCTACCCTTAACACGATATTTGCGTCAGACCGAGAAATATTGTTATAAGGGTAATATTGTTATAGGGGTAACTGGTTCATTTCATACACATACGTCATAATACATGGATTTTGTTCATTTTTTACGCTCTTCATAGCATAAAAACTGACATACATGCACATTATGTGCACAGCAAGGTGTCCACTGGTGCCCCCATTGCATTTCGTCATGTCCCAGCGACTTATCAAGTGAAGCTTGCCCTACCTGGATAGTGGACACTACATATTCCCTGCTAGATATTGTTATAAAATGGAATATGTCGATTGGTCAGCCCATTTTATATCGTTATAGGGGTAATATCGTTATAGCAATATTGTTATAGAGGTAAGGCATTGTATGCACAAGTCAATGGAGTGATTTGGTTTGGCAGAAAAATATCGTTATAAGGGTAATATCGTTATAGAGGTTATCGTTATAAGGGTAGGTCGACTGTAATTATGAACACTGAGCGGGGCTGGACGTGCTCCCTATGATTGTGTTCATTACTAGCACCACTTGCGGTGACAAGTCATGGTTGGTCAGCATGCTGATGTTATAGCTTTGCGGCTGGCACTCTCTACAGTAAGATCGGGCGCCGAAGAACGCAGGGGCTCGAGCGCAGCCTAGGAAAGTTCTTAAATTTTTGATTCTAGCCAGACCGTTCTTATTCACACGCGCGCGCGGCGAGTCGAGTGACGTCATGACGTTTGTCATGTACATGTACATGTAGTGCAATGTAGTACTTCTAAACTAGTGGGTGTCGTAAATGGGAATGACTGTACATGTAGCAGTTACTGTTTACACGTGTACATGACATGTACTCACCTCCCATACATGTACAATGTAGATCTACGTACAATGTAGATCTAGTGTTCTTAAATCTGATAATTTTAGCCTGGACTGTTCTTAAATTTTGCCGGTTTTCCAGCCTGGGTGTTCTTCGGCGCCCGATCTTACTGTACATATGATTGGCTCCGAAACGTGCAAGTCCCGCATGTTTGTCTTGGCACGCAGATTCATTATGTGCTGGCTGTTGCTACTTGTTGGAACTATATTGCGGTGAACCTAGGTAGCCTTGTTGTCTGGAGCAGGAATACACCCTAGCCGTTGGATGGTCAACATATGCTTGCTGTCTGTTTTAGAACCAATCATGAACTATGCTCTTGCATGATAATGTTCGGACATGCTATGTTGCCGTGCCCAAGCCTCCGAGCTTGGCTCGCTGCTCGCGCTCTCAGTAGATCCGTGCGTGGCCATGTATGTAGCACCTTTATAACCTACCTATATTGTACTAACTAAACAGTTGCATTCTAGCAGAAGAACGGAAGTGTTGCGTTGTGACTGGTATAGGCCGTGGTTGTGCGTGTGTTCAGGGTTTTCAGTTTGTGCGCAGTGTGGTAGTGCGCGCCGTTCTCTTACAGCTGGTGCCGAAACCCGGGACGCACAGGAATCAGGGTAGTACCAGTAGTCTAGAAGTTGAAGTAGAATGGCAAAGGTAGACAGCCTTATGTTGCGTCCTTTTCGTGGCCGAGAAGACAACTTCACCGAATTTTGGAGAAAGTTTCAGGTAGTGGCAAAGATTCGAAAAGTTAGACGATGTAGCTGAACGTATGGCTCATTTGCCGTTGCATCTGTTGTGCGATGCGTTCACAGTCTGGCAAGAGATGAGCTCAGCCGACATGAGGGACGAACAGAAAGTTCTAAAGCGGCTGACGGAGTCGTTCTCAGTTCTGCCTGGGGAGGCGTATGGCCAGTTTGTCCGTCGAGCGAAACAAGAAGACGAGACTGTGGATGCCTACCTCGCTGATTGCTTCGCCTGAGTACGCACAAGGAACAGGAAGGCGGCAAGGACCCGATGCTGTTGGAGCAGTTCCTGACCGGAATGCCTGGCCACCTCGCGTCCCAGCTCCGAATCAGCTCGTCCACAAACGCGGACGGGCTGGCCATCGACGCAGTTGCTCGTCAAGCGCGAGCGTTGTGCTTGTCGCAGCAGTCATCACAGCCGATGAGGTCGGGCAGCGGGAGTGACAAGCCTGCGGGCGCAACTGTGGCGGTGGTGTTAACTAGTAGTACTTCGCGCCGTCACAGTCTGAGTCACTCCGTGCACTGCTTCGAGTGCCAGCAGATAGGGCATATGCAGCGCGACTGCCCGCAGCGCAGGTCACGGAATGGAGCTGGAGTGAAGTGCTTCCACTGCCAGGAAGTGGGCCACTTCAAACGCAACTGCCCTAAGCTGCAGCAGGGCCAAGGTGTAGGGGCGAGTGCCGGTGCGGGTATGGCACTCCAGTCTGAGTCCAGTCACAGTCAGAAGTGCCTGGGTGCTGTGGCGACAACATCTCCAGTGAACCTGCCCCGCATCTACGTGAATGTGTCAGCAGTGGCAACCAACACTGTCAGCAGGCACTCTGCTGCCATTGACTCCTGCTCCACCAGGTCACTTGTAAGCAGCAGTGTTGTGGCCAGCAAAGGACTGGCAGTGGAGCCGCATGAAGAACCCATTACTGCCATTGATGGAGAGGCCTTGCCAGTGGTGGGATCTGTGGTGATGACGATTTCTCGCCAAGACGCCCATGTCCAGCTGCCAGAGACCGAGGCCGAGTTTCTGGTCATTGATGACCTTGCGGTGGTCAGCTCAGATCTGCTGATTGGCCTGGAAGATATCTAGCCTGGGCGGCGTCACGTTAACATACAACAGTGAAGATCGTAGCCTGTCGAGTGCCAAGTTTGGTCCCCAGTGTTCCGATGTGCCAAGCGATGTAGTGGGTGCAGTGGGTGAGGAGAATAGCAGTAAGGTGCTCATGCATGTTACTGTCGTCGAGAATGGCCGGGAAGTGTGGCTGAAAGCCGATGATGGTGAGGCACACTTCGACCCAGGTCAAGGGTGTTGGGTCGTGTCATGGAAGTGGCTCGGAGGAGTGCCCCCAGCATCTTCCATCGGACCCGGCCGGGAGAGTATTCCAGACGTCGCCTAACGACTGAACAAGAAGCGAAGTTCTGCGAGGAGGTGGACCTGTGGATACGAGAAGGCTGGCTTGTGCCGCATGATACTGCGAAGCACGGTGAGCCCGCGTGTGTTCTGTCGCTCCTGGCTCAGGTCCAGGAACACAAAGCGTCGACACCGATTAGGCCCTGCTTGGACTATCAGCAGCTGAACAGCCACCTGGTATACCATCCCGGCACCGACTCTCCGGCATGTGAGGAGAAGATCCGTGAGTGGCGTCGCCGGAGCACCGATAGCCACGTAGTAGATGTGCGCAAGGCCTACCTTAATGTGAAGATTCACCCAAGTCTGCAGCGCTTTCAGACCCTAGTGCGGAAAGGAAAGCGGTTCGTCATGGGGCGCATGTGGTTCGGCCTCTCCATTGCGCCGAAGATGATGGATCTCATCATCAAGTGATTCAGGGTTTTCAGTTTGTGCGCAGTGTGGCAGTGCGCACCGTTCTCTTACAACGGACGGTCTCACATTCATATATGGTTGTGCGGTGCAAACCTCTAACTAAGGACCACCTGCCACTAAAGACCGCTTTCTCTGGCACCAAGGGGTGGTCGCTAGTCACAGGTTCTACTGTAGTACCAAGGGTATAAGCTCCCATGAGTGTGCAACTCCTGATACCCTTTCTATGGGGTTTACCGACGGCGAAAACTCACATCATGTAGTGTAGTGTCCCAGTGGTACGTTTCCAGTCCGTTTTTAGCGAGCAGCGGATTAAAAAAAAAGCACTCTGACAGAAACCCGCTGCACGTATGCAACTCGCCAGCATGACCACGGCAGATATTCAGATTGCGCGCGCGTACACATGCCATCCTCCGTTTGTACGTAGTGCGAAACATACCGGAGAAAACATACTGGAGACACGTGATGTGAGTTTTCGCCGTCGTGGACCCCACAATCCGCAGGCAGAGTTGCACACGCTTGGGAGTTTATTATACTCTTGGTAGTAGCAGTAGGTAACTGGTGGTTCAACACAATCACCCTACCCACCATTTGAAAATAAGTGTACGGTGCAGTCAGCATTTCCAAAAGTTTCAAACTTACCGGGAGAGTGGGGATCTGTGGAGATTGTCCCCTTGGAGAATGGCGCTCCCCGCGCGACTCCGTCATCTCTGATCGACCTGGAAGGAGAGCAGGCGGCGTTCCAGAGCTGAGCTCTTTGGCCAACGTGATCGCCCTGTGAAGTGTCGCCAGTAGAACTCTCAGCAGCCGTTTTCAGGGGTGCGAGTCGTTTCTCTACAACGAATAGTTCTCTGTTGATCTCTTGTAGCTGCTAGTTGCTGTCGCGGGAAGTAATTGCGCAACTCGATCAATCAATGGCCGTTCGTAGAGAGAATCCTCATTGTCTCAAACTCATATCTGGAGGGGAGGCATTCTTTGGCAGCAGCCGTCAAATCCACAGCACGTTTTTGAGAATAAAGTCGCCCGCAACTGTCTTCTACAATCCTCGCTGTGACGGAGTCTAGTGTTCAGTAGTGACAGGCTTTAGTTTAGTGACAAACTGGGGAAATGATTGGGTGTGTGTGTGCTCCTACAGTAGAACCTGCATGCGAGCATCAGCAGTCAGCCGCCTGAACATGATCCACACGTCGTTGATTTGAAGAGTGAAGTACGAACCAAGCGCAAAGCAGTACGCGACCGTACAACACCGGCTGTGGGTGGATCTACGGGACTCCTTTTCTTTCTTCACAATCACCGATCACTAGATCATGTCGCGCGCTGGGCAGAACTTCAAAAGCTTCATTTGCGACAGCTTGGATCAGCTTTGATTTGTACAAAGTGCAGAGCCGAAGATCATGCAAGCAATATCGATGCGCATGCATCGTGCGTGAACAGAGCCCGCAAGCCTGTGCATGACCACGCATATGCACGCACAAACACAAACACGCAAAATATCGAAGAATTTTGGAAAAGAATTTGCTGACAATCATTGATAGAGCAAAATATCCGCGCTATCTTGGTTGGAAATTGTGAGAGTTTACACACACGGTGCACGTGACTGATTTTGCCATCATGTTACAGTCACATTAATTTTGCTCACGTTTACCAATACGTGATCCACAGAATTCCCATACGTGACACAAATTTGGCCACACATTGGCGGAGCAAAAAGGTACTGAGCAAAATATCGAACAGCCTTGCAAAATATTGCGGCAAAATATCCGGCGATGATGAGGCAGCAAAATATTGCGGCAACTTGAATATCAAAATTAATGAATACAAACCCATAGCACTGAGTCCCAAGGACAATAAGTTATTATCAGCCAGCCAAGCGGACCTTGCCCAGTTGCGCAAATAGCCACACGGTGACACCGCGCGGCAAGAGAGCAGCATGCAGCGATAAACCAGCAGCCGGCCCGGTACACAACACAAGCCAGGGCGCGGCAACCTGCGTGATAAAGTGGCCTGTGACAACCAGCAAGAACATTGCACAGAGCTCTAAACAAGCAGCGTATACAGCGTCAACTACGACCCGCACCGCAAGCGGCCACAGCCCGGCAGCAAGATCACTTCGCAATAAGACAAGCAACGCACACAACGTAACCCGTCGGTCCTGACCTGTACACTGACAGGCCGATAAATAAGCTAAAAACTGCCAGCACCGTAATCAACATTTCCTAGCCTTCATCCACCATAGTGGCAGACTGAGATCAAGTCCAGAAAACGATATAAGCAATGCAAGCCGCGGGCCACGAGTCACTGGGAATGTGTCACAACATCTAGGCAACTATTGGCTGTCTGGCTGCTCGTAAAGCCGCTTCATTGCCTGGGCATTCTTCTTCATCGTAGGACAAATCTGCACGAGATCAAAATCAAGGTTGGAAAGTTACTATTTTGATCTTTTGGATAAAAGCAAGGACAAAAATGCTACGTGTTATGACTAACTGTCCACCAAATTTAGCCAGATCATAAACAGTCAACGGGTACGAAACGAAGCCACAAAACTGACAGGAAATACAGGAGTATTCAATGCCCTAACACCTACATTGTAGCCCCAACACATCTACGAGGTGCCATGTCAGGTGCCGAATTCAAAAACAAACACCGTGCTGGGAAAATTAATAGCAGTCATCTCCTGTTCTATGGTGCCAAAAAAATCACGGTTCGCGTGAGACTCGGTTTATCTATATAGAGGCCGAGTTTTCCGCATCCGTAGGAACGCCACCACCCTTCAAGGATCAAGGCGCAGATGCAGCTCCTAAAGCGGCGGGAGGTGAGTAGATCAGCTCACCGGCATGTGGTCGAAGACCGAAAATCCCATTCACTGCATTCATGTCCTGTTCTATGGTGCCAAGCAAGGCTGGAAATCAACCACAGTAAAACCTGATTTTGCCGGTGCGTGCACCAAGCGGAATCCTGGCATATCAGGACAGTTTCCGCTGCGCCACGCAGTCCGGTTTGAGCAGGTCTCTAACTGTACACCGTGCTGTTCTGCCCGTGACACGGACTGCCCTCAGGAAACCGTACCTTCCCGGTGCTGGTGTGGTGTGGAAAGTCGACGCTGATGACGGCAAAGCCGCCCAGCACGTTGACTGCCGTGAGACCGAGTCGACTTAGCACGGATGAGCCGATGGTGGAACGAAACCCACTGGCACAATAACAATAGTGCGTCTTCGACCTGAAACATGAGAACACAGAAACGAGTATACAGTCAACTTCGCTAATAACAACTGCGGATATAACGACAATTCGTGAGTAAGGACAAAATGTCCATGCCCAGAGCAAAGTTCCATCCAACTCTAATACATACAATGAGACTTCGGGTATAACGACACTTGGCGAATAAGGACGCTTTTTTGATGCCCTGTCGAGTGTCGTTATATGCGAAGCTGACTTTACTTGTACACATCACAGCATTGCGTACTACATTGTATGTCAAAATACATGATAGGGTACCCATGCCGCCCAAATAGAAATACCGTTTTTTCCGGAGTATAGTGCGCACTTTAGATGTGCTATTTTAGGCCCTAAATCGCAGGTGCGCACTATGCTCCGAATATGAAATGCATGTACTTCAATGAAGATTGAAGTGCGCACCCCCAATGAAGACTGGGGGAGCGCGTTATACAAAGGTGCGCACTATACTCCGGAATATACGGTACCTGGACCCGACCAGACCCCTACCCGTGAAGCCCTGCAAAAAAATCACTTTGTTTCTCTACTTTCACTCCAACAACCTTCCAACTTGGTACTTGGACTTTCAGCTCGTGCGTGTCTTGGTTGCTCTCACCCCCCCCCCCCCCTATGTTCTCTATTTTTCATGGCTGTCATGGTTAACCAAAAACAACAGCAAAATTCTTACCTATCGGCTGTGTCAGCGTGTTCGCGAATCTTCGCCAGTGGCCAGTTCACTGCCTTGCTCATGTGGTTGGACGCAAACTCATCCGGAGTTCTCACGTCCACCACAACCGAGGACTCGTCGCAGAGCTGCCCGATGGTCTGTTCATCTCTCTGGAAGAGCAGCAGATAGTGGAGTGGATACAATGAAGGATATATGTAAGTAAACAGGGGCGTCGGAAGGTATCATTTTTAGTGTGGTACGGTCAGCCATCTGAAGTACAGTTTACTCGTGGGAGGGATGGCTGAGCCGAAGATTTTGGAAATTTACAGTCCAGATCAGTGTATTTTATTGATTCACGGGGTACCTGGGGAAAAAAGTGGTACGGTCAATACCGTAGTGACCGCATCGTGTCCGACGCCCCTGGTAAAGACTCAACATGGCACTACACGCAGGAGTGCAGGCGATTGCAAAAAAATCTGTCCAAAACGTATCGTATTTCCCCGAATGTAAGTCGCACCTTTTTACACTTAACGCCAAGGCTAAAGAAGGGGTTGCGAATTACAATTGAGTGTGACTTTCTACTGATGTGAATGTATGGAAACAATTTGGCTCAGACCAGAAAATGGGTTTCGACTAGGGGTGAAACGAGTATCTATTTTGACCCAATCGATCACTCATTCATAATATTCGATCGAGTATCCGATTATTTCGAGTATTTTATCAAAATTCAAAAGCGCTAGATTTGTGAGTTCTCGACCAATCGGAAAGAAATTATCTGTGAACATAGAACAAAAGTCGCCAACGTCTTGTACAGAGTGTAAAGCAGGGAGTCGTACTCAAACTAGGGAGGTGACACGGCACAGAAATCCGTGTCACAGGGGTTGACTCGCACCCGTGACCCCTCGTTGTTATTTTTGGAATAGTTCAGTCCAGTCCAGTCCGAAAGGTCATACTCGGATCGACTCGCCTTCTGTACTTCACCTCCAAGCGTGCCGAATGGGTGTCTAGTTTTTGAAATTATTGAGGCAGCACATTTCGGTTACAGCCCATCACTCGCCAGTATTCTTTGAAAGACTACCAGCATTTTGTTTAGCTCCTGCCATGTCCGAACTACTTGATAGCAGTGATGGCAACAGCAGCAGTTATGAAACGGCGTGTAGTGTTGCGGTAACTGTTCAGAACTGTTCAGAGTCGTATCCTAGGTTAATCCGAATACTAAAAATTGACCCAAATTGCACATAACACGAAGCTGGTTTTTGAAAATTGTAAGTCGTGTATCTGCCCCATTTCTTCTTTATGACTTGCACAATAGTCAATACACCAGTCTTCCTAAACAACACATTTATAGCAGGGGAAGTACCATATAAGAGAAGTACAGCCAGTGATATTGTCATGTTGAAATACTACAATTTTGACACAAATTACACATAACACGAAGCCAGGTTTTGAAAATTGTAAGTCGTGTATCTGCCCCATTTCTTCTTTATGACTTGCACAATGGTCCAGTCTGCCTAAATAACACATTTATAGCAGGGGTTATGTACCATAATAGAGAAGTACAGCCAATGATATTGTCATGTCTAAATACTACAATTTTGACACAAATTACACATAACACGAAGCTGGTTTTTGAAAATTGTAAGTCATGTATCTGCCCCATTTCTTCTTTATGACTTGCACAATACACCAGTCTTCCTAAACAACACATTTATAGCAGGGGTTAAGTACCATACAAGAGAGCTACATTGTACATCTAGTCATACTGTCATAAACAGCCAGCATTTTTCCTGCAGCAGTCACACCACCATCATCATTATTTCCAGGGAAATCCTCTTACATTGTCAGCTCCTACGTCGTTAGATACAATGTAGGGGCTGTAGGACCGGCTCGTCAAAAATAGAGAACCTGAACAAGCGTGCTCGGGACGTCTCAGCAATCGCAGTATGCCTGAGCACTCCAATAAAAACTTGATCAATGGCAAAATCGTTCGCCACAGAAAAATCGTACTTTGCGGGTCTTGCGTTGCACGCCTGGAGGTGAAGTACAGAAGGCGAGTCGATCCGAGTATGACCTTTCGGACCGGACTGGACTGAACTATTCCAAAAATAACAACGAGGGGTCACGGGTGCGAGTCAACCCCTGTGACACGGTTTTCTGTGCCGTGTCACCTCCCTAGTTTGAGTACGACTCCCTGGTGTAAAGTAATGATTTTCATCAGTATTTTTATATCTCATAACTAACTAACGTTACTTGCTGTGGTGATCGCATCGTCCAAGTCATAAAATACTGACTCAAAGGCATGCATAATGCATGCATACCAGTAGACGAGCGGTACTACCAACTTTTTGGAAAAATAAAATGCCAATACTGTAAAAACAAAAACAAAAAAACGATCGAGTGCAGAATTTCGAATACTCGCTCGTTCGAAATTTTCGAACAAATACTCGAATATTCAAACTAATCGTTTCACTTCTAGTTTCGACTTATAAAAAGACAGTACACATGTGAATGTTTAGACGCGTATGTGCATGCAGCCATTATGAGAGCACATGTGCAACAACATTGGCTTGGCCATACCGGGTAGATTTGCTGCTGACTTTCGAGCTCAATTCCGTCAGCCTGCCACTCCGGCGGTCCTCCTATGATTACTGCATGAGCCTGTAGAATACAACGGAATAGCACACACAAACACACATGTGCGTGTGCACACACGTACACAGACATACACACACACACACACACACACACACATGTACACATACACACATACACACACACACACACACACACACACACACACACGTACAGACACACACATGCACGCACGCACAACAGTGCAACAGGATAAAGTGGACATACAGAGGAAATACAGATTGGAGGAGCCTCGGTGAACTCCAATCAGAGTTCTTCGAGTCTCCTCGTAGCATTCATGATCACTGTGCACTGTTTTTTTCTTTGCGGATCCAAGGTAACTACTAAAGGAATATCTCACTTTAGAACGTAGATCACTGTGCGTGCTCTAAGCATGAACAATGATCATGAATGCGGAGTAGGAGACGAAGTAGAACTACTAATTTAGCACCAACCGTCTGATACGACTGGTTCGGACATTATCCAGAGTACGGAGCATTGATCCATACTGGAGACGTTACGAAACGAAATACCTTGAACACTAACTACTGTAAGATTACAAATTTTCGGCCCATTCAAATTTCGGCCTCCCAGGGCTAAAACCCATTTCGGCCGTATCAAATTTTCGTCCCGTACTGCTGCTGCCTGTACACACTGTCACACTTAAAGGGGAAGTTAAGGCAAAAATTAAAATTTCACCAGTTGTAGTCTTCGGAGTGCTGAGTCGAATGGTCGTGGTCCGAGGAAGCTGAGACGCTCCCTTCCTACTTGAATCCCAATCGAACTCGCGCACTTCCACCGAAACTGGGTGACTGCGCCCTACTAGATGGGGATTTGTATGCAAAATGTCACTAAAAGCGCCATTTCGTTCTTATAAAAGCACGGATGACCGCGATTGGCCCATATGTTGTAGTCTTTTGGACGCTGAGTCGACTGGTTTTGGTCCGAAAAGGCTGCGATGCAGCGTTCCTCCTTTATTCCCAATCGAACATGGTTGAAGAAGCGGTCACGTGGTCCTGGGTGCCCAAATCACCTGGTCACCACGCCAGCAGGTGACAACTTTCACACCAAGGTTCAACTCGAGTTCAACTCGAGTGACAGGAGTGCACCCAAAAAAGGTCAAACAGGCTAGTAAGTTGTACCCTGCAGGCACGGTGACCAGGTGACTGGTGTACGCAGGAGCACGTGACCGCTTGTTCAACCATGTTCGATTGGGAATAAAGGAGGAACGCCGCATCGCAGCCTTTTCGGACCAAAACCAGTCGACTCAGCGTCCAAAAGACTACAACATATGGGCCAATCGCGGTCATCCATGCTTTTATAAGAACGAAATGGCGCTTTTAGTGACATTTTGCATACAAATCCCCATCTAGTAGGGCGCAGTCACCCAGTTTCGGTGGAAGTACGCGAGTTCGATTGGGATTCAAGTAGGAAGGGAGCGTCTCAGCTTCCTCGGACCACGACCATTCGACTCAGCACCCCGAAGACTACAACTGGTGAAATTTTAATTTTTGCCTTAACTTCCCCTTTAACCATGCAAAACAAAATTTCGGCCGCAATAAATCTTCGGCCAAACATGACCAGGCCGAAGATAGCCGAAAATAAATATGCGCCGAATATTTGTTGACTTTAATAATACAGCGCACTTTCCTGTTGATCGTGGGGGTATGTCAGGTCAGAGTAAGCACAGATCAGGCTAAAACTACACACAGGTGAAACCTAGTTTCAGCATCTATCCATGCATAGGACCAGTAAACCATGACCAGTGGAGAACGCATGCCGTATCCTACCATTGCACACGCAATATCCACGTTGCAGAACGTGGGGCAAAGACTAGACCAGACCTAACTCTGCAGACAAACAGACTGCTTCACAGGAGAAGGTGTACTCGGATATGGTAGACCGTTTTACACGTACCGTATAGCCTATTCTTGCCAGGCGCTCCAGCGACTCGTACTCATCCCCGGCTGTTGCGACGATAAATATGCCGTCGTCCTTCGGTATGAGGGTACCCGCCTGTAAAGGAAAGGAACATCACATTTAACGGAAAGGCTGCATAAGGAGAGTACTGTAGCTTTGCCGATTATCAGAATCATGTGTATGTATGTTACTACCACTAAGCCTGGCTAACAATCATTTACTCTACCTGGCACTGCCAAAATGAATTCTGAACTTAATCTTGTATCTGTGCATGCACACAGTACGCACAATTAAGGTAAACACAAGCGTCAGCAATTGGTCGTACATGTATTCGAAAAACTTGACCCGGAAAGAATGGCCAAATGATGGCTTTGAACTACAGCTTTCCGGAGCAAAGACGTCCACATTATATGTTCTTCCTCTTCAGTTCAAGAGCTACTCTACCCGCTCTTCGACAGATTATATTTTGTGATACACCACCATTTGATGCATCTACATGTAGTGTCAGATGCCGTTAGTAATCTTGTAAGGCTGGAATGAAAAGTCTCAGTCACCACTGCCCTACAACTCACCCAAATAGCAAAGTTGCCTTCGTGCGCCTCAACAACAGTGCCGCCAGCACCGCCTTTGGGCACGTTCACGGCGCGGGGCAGGTGTGCTGCTGCGAACTGTGACGCCTGTACGCATGGACACATGAAACCACTGCAACAAATCAATTCAAAAGCTAGCGGCTTGCACTCCTTCATAATAATTTAGAATTGCGATAAACAGAACGAGCTGAACAGTCATTTCACAAAGACTTTATTGTGTTCAAAACGAGTCGATACGAAGGCAGTAAAGAACAGGGAAGGAGAAACAAATGTGATAAGGAGCAGCTCGTTCTGTTTATCGCAATTCTAAAACTATTGTCGCCTCGTCGCTTATCTAATACATCATAACTTAGCTCCATTTTGAAAGATCAAATGAGGGTCATGCATCTGTCAACGTCGAAGCAGTGCATACTGTCTGAGGCAGGCTCAGTCTGCTTTTGCTCCCTCGTTGTGTACGGGAAACACGAGTTTCTTTCACAAAGACAAGATGATACATGATGCTCATGCGAACCATGCACCTGCACAGGCACATCACACTATTCACAGTCACCTCCAGCATCGCCAGTGGAGGGTTCGTTGCACTTACATCTCGGGTGTCAAGAATGATGGCAGCATCGGGCTGGGCTCCGATCTCCTCTAGGGCACTGGCAGCTGATACCCACTTGGCTTTCAAGATATCACTCGCCAACGTGCCAGCTCCTTTCTGGGCATTCAGGAAACATAGCCACAACCACATGCATATACAGCTTGTATTCACATAATTCAGATACGTGAACTGGTGGCTAACTGGCTTGGTTCATAGGTACACACCGCGTCGCTATACTGTAGCTGACACAGGGGTTGACAAAGAAATCCCGCATCAGTGAGAGATCAGTACCTCTGCCCGCAACTTCTCAATGGCGTGTGCTTCCTTTGGCCACCCCGGCGCGGAAGGCACCTGCAGACATATCTACTTGTATGCAGTTGTAATCAGGCTTGCTCACTACCAGAAACAGCTCATCGCCTCTCCCAAGAGATGGGTGAGAAAAAAAGGAGTGATCATGCAGAGATGACTCAACGTTATATACCCATCAACGAATTTCCCCTCCCCTTTCCTCTTTCCTCTTTCCCCGTCCTCAGCACAGAACAAGGTAAGGGCAAGGTGTAAAACAAAAAGCATGTTTTAATATTTGAACAATAGGACCTGACGAGCCTGCCTGGGAGGCAACAGCAGTAAGGCCGCGGTCACACCGAGCTCGATTCAGCCGTTCAGCCGAAAAAAGCGCTTGTTTACGTCACTATTACCATGGAAATGGCTGAAAATGTCCTACAAGCGACTTTCAGCCGTGGCTGACTCTCAGCCGTTTTTTTCGGCTTGTTTCAGCCACAGCTTGTACAAGCGGCTGAAAGCCGAAATTCAAAAAATAATTTGAGTGCGCTTGGAGCACACCATGTAGCTAGTTGACATGATGAACTGATATTGATGTTCTTTCTTGTGTCCGTGGAACCGTGCTATCCCTGTGCCTTTGGTTTTGACCGTGAGTCTGTCTATCCAACTACACTGTATTCAGTTTGATTTGGATTTTGTCCGACGACCATGGATTTCTGCCGCTGTGCCTCTAGATTGCTGCGTAGATTGTTGGAGCTGTGGTTTGAGGCCAAGACAAGGCACCACACTCACGACCGAATTCATGAAGAGAGTGGATTGCAACTGAGTTCAAGAACGGCAACCGGCGGGGCAGAAAGCTCAACATCAGGAAACACCACCCGAACCATCGCGTCCATGCACACCGAACAAATAAAAAGAGCACGACTTCGCAATTCAGAATCCGGGCTTCCTTTGCTTCTTCATCAAAACTGAACACTAGAACAAGTACAGTTTTAGATCGCGAACGTTCTGCTTTCCAGTTTCTTGCAAACATTGGTGTGTTACGAGATATTCAAAATTTGGCGGGTAAGAAAAACAAGCCATTCAAGCTTTGCACTCAAGGTCTGGTGTGACCGCGTCACAGGGACCACGCAAGCCAGCTGAGCGCCAGCGATAACAAGCCCAAAGTGGCTTGTTTCGGTGTGACCGGGGCCTTACCCAGTGTTATAGAGCTTGTCTGGGGTACTTGCACACTGAGTATACTCCAATAGACAATAATTATAGTCAAAAGCATACAATGTACATGTCATGTACCAGCAGATGTCAGGTATGATGATGACAGTACCTCACCAGGCGGAGGGTGCACCGTACGTATGTAAAAACAGTGTTCCTCACCGCACCCCCCCCCCCCCCACACTATTTTGACCTGGCTAGAGTCCTGCATCGGTACAGGCAAACTGTCAGGCAAGGCTTACATATACCAGCGCACACCAGTACCTACCAGTACACGTCAGTACACAGAGTACATACAGTACATACAATACATATATGTACACTCATACCTCGTTTATCCGGGCAGTCCGGGACCTTGCACTGCCCGTAACTTTGAAATGTCCGTAACTCCGAATCATATACATCTTGATGGGGAAAGTGCACAAGTGTGCACAGAACATGGCATGTGACGTCACTTTCTCCACACAAAGTGACAAAGGAGTAGTAATATTTCCACTGAAACTTGCCCCCAGAGTGCCCGGTAGACCGAAGTGCCCGTAACTTCGGGGTCCGGATAACCGAGGTATGAGTGTACCAGCATAATTATACTTCAGTACGCAGTACCGGCACATGCCAGTACAAACCAGTACATGCCAGTACAAACCAGTACATGCCAGTACATGCCAGAACATGCCAGTACATGCCAGAACATGCCAGTACATGCCAGAACATACCAGGAAATGCCAGTACAAACCGGTACATGTACCAGTGTCTGCTCTAGGATTGTAGGACAGCCGGGTACACGTGTAGATCTACCTGGCGCAACCATTTCAACAGGGTCGGAGCCGGGTACACATGCACCTGGCGTTGTCTCGCCAGCCGAGTCACATGCTTTAACTGGTTGGTTGGTTTAATTTAATTCGGACAATAAACGGAAACTATGCCCAATGATATAAAGGCGAATGGATAAGCCGCATTCAGAAAAGAGAGGACAGGAATTAGAAAATTACGAAAGAAGAAGAAGTATCTGACACAAGCCATGTAGTCAGTCCTTTCAAAGTTCAAAAGTGTAAAGTACCAACCGGGTCACAGGTGACCCGGTACTATATTTGCAACCGGGTCCAAACGCCGCCCAACCGGGTGGATTACCCGGCTCACCCGGCGCTGGAGCAGACACTGATGTACATGTACATACCAGATTGGCTTGCACGCTGTCATAGAAGTACTGAGGGGAGTGCGGCTGGCCAAACGTCAGGAAGGTCACAAATCCATCCACCTGTGGAAAGAACAATAATAAGAGGGACATCTCTTGCTCCTCTCACTGGATCGGTTGATAACTAATACCAGAACAAAAACTGCCTCACTAGAAAGCCATGGCCCATGGCGAGACTTGCTCCTGAAAGCAGGCCACGTATCGTGTTTCCCCGAATATAAGTCACACCTTTTTTTACGCCTAACTTCAGGGCCAGCAAAGGGGGTGCGACATACAATCGAGCATGACTTGCTACTGAAGTGAATATAATCAAAACGATATGACATGGATCCGGAAATGGGGGTGCGACTGACAATCGAGTGCGACTTACAAACGGGGAAATACGGTACATCATGTTTTACGGTATTCAACCCCAAACCTGGTGGAAGAAGAGAAGGTAGTGAATCCATTCTACCATCCTACATGACTATCGGGTACTCGTTTGCGGATCAGCAGCTAAACAGACGGGTACCCGGATCTCCCCTTCAGCCCTAGTAGTGATGACACACCATAACGGATAATTGTATCTCAAGTTAAGAATGACTCTACCGAGACCGGCACCTAAAACGGGACAAGCCCCAGCAGTCCATAGAACGGCACTTTCATCACGTTTCCATACTATCGCAAATCATAACCATGCTACCACTGCCACCCCATGCCATGAAATGGCATGCAGAATTTCAGTGGATAAAGAACAGGTAAACGGCTTACATCTTTGATCTGCAGAGCTGGGTTCTTCTCTCGTTCCGCCCCAATGGTGGACCAGAGCGCGTCGCTGAGTGACTTCCCACACGGAGAACCAGCACCGTGAGCAGGTAGCACCTACAATGAAAGAAGGGACACACACACACACAAAAGCAGATGTGATCCCATGCACTTAGTCTGCAGGCAGGGCAACAGAAGCGAAGAAGTCGACAATGAAGGCACCAACGGCACACAGTAGCAGTGTCTGCTCGAGGATTTCAAACCAACCCGGTACACGTGTGTATCTGGCACAACTCTTGCAACCGGGTCAGTCCTGGGTACATTCAAGTGCGGCTAATGTACCTCAGGGAGTCTTAGGACTCTCTGATTGAGTCCTAACCGGGGCACAAGTGACCCGGTGTTCTTTTCCAAGCTGGTTCAAGTACCCCCCCCCCCCCCCCACCGGGTCGCTGACCCGGCTCTGGAGCAGATACTGAGTAGTATAGCTAAAAGCCCGCAATTAAACAACCAGAAAACACGCTCTCGGCCAGAAAGACAGGTGTCCCGATAACGAATGTCACAACCATCTTATCGGACACAACATGATCAAATTCCGATGCATACCATATACGGATCAACCAGTATTTATTGTACTAACAAGCTAGTGGACACATCTTACTAATTAGTTTCAAAATCCACCGGCCTCACCTTGACATTGTCCGGCAGCTGCATGAGTTTGGTATGTAGAGATTTGTACATGAGTTTAGCCATCTCCTGAGCAGTGTGACCCAGACTACCAACAAGATCAGGACGACCACACGATCCAATGAACAGTGTGTCACCTGTGAATGCCTGAAAGGGAGCAAGCCAGATCAAGTTGAGGGACAGAGACGTCACGAATGAGCGGGGAGACTAAACAGAAAGACACCAGTGGAAAGACGGATTGGTGAATGCAAGGTGGATAGACAGGTACACTGGACCACAAGTCACAAAACATGGGAAAAGTACACAGTTTGAGGGAAAGACACAAACGGGAAAAGTCTGAAGAAAAAATTGACTGTCACCACCAGGACGCGAACAATATAATATATACCACACACAAGAGAGAGTTTGGAAGCTTTGTCACAACTCCGAGTTTCACGTATCTCTACGATCATCAGGCAACTGATGGATCCAAAACGGGCAGCCAGAACATAAGGGGGAGCAAGGTGGGAAATTCCGAGGGGTGTCATAGGCGACGCGTATCATAGCGCAAGAGTCAGGTGCAGGCGTGAATTTGCCAAGTCTTCAGACTTGGGGCTATGCAGCAGTAGTTCCGGCATGAATGATATAGAATAGAGCTGGGGGCAAATGCCAAATCCACATATCATATAACATAATATAACATATAATATATATAATAGTGCCTTTGCTGTTTGCGTTATGCAGAGCTCACTGACTTGTCAGTTTGAGCACTCTGGCAAGGTACGTTCGGGCCTGATTGGAAATTTTTATTTCCATTGCTATCAGGTTCGGCCTCATTTCCTCTGTGCTGCGCTGATGAGTCCACAAAGGACGAAACAGTTCTGTCCGCAGATTGAGTAATATATATAATATATATTTATTATTTAAAGGATTTCCCAAAGGCATAGCCTATCAGTGGGATCTCCTAACAGTAAAAATGATCATTGACACTCGCTTGTAGCTAGTATTACATTGTAACATGGAAATTGTGGGCACAAGCTATGCGATCGAGTCCATCAACTAAACCAGATTTTGAACAGTCAGACGTGCACAATCTAGCACAAAACTGACAAGGAGTACTGAGACATTCCACGGCATGACTTGAAATCTGGTTTAGTTGGTGGACTCGATCGCATAAATTGTGCCCACGTTTTTCCATGTTACAATTTTTTTCCTTGGCTCGCCATCTGACAGTATAATACCAGCAAGTACGGCAGGCATTACTCGAAACAAGAAATACACTCACACCACCATGACTACAATGGTAATGAAGAAGTGAGCGCGAAGCCTCCAGGAACCAGACAATTCTGCCCTGTGCGGGGAAGTGGCTTGCTTGCAGAAGTTATCACAGCCTTGATTCAGGACCTTGAACACTGAACCAACCTGCCGTGGGTGTGGAGGTGTCTTCGTTCAGAGGTTTCCACCCAGGGTGGACCTAATTGTGACAGTTCCATGGCCCATACAGGGCTTAAATAAGAAAACATTGTGTAGGCGAAGGTTAACAGCAGGGCAAGATTTGCGGGGCAACTGTTTAGAGTAACGGTATGAAAGGCCTCGTCGAAACTATTTGGGTTCTGTGCTGTGCGTATTAGCTTGTTTTCCCCAACCAAAAAAATCTATTCAATTGCTCAGAGCTTACATAAAGAGGCACAGGAGAGCCAACTTTGCCTGCAACGCATGTGGCGTTCAATATCCACGTTGCGGACTCCGGTGTGTGCCCCGGCGTGTGTAAGCCTTGCAGACTGTACTGGTCAGAAAGCTTGATGCTCTGCACAGACAAGATCACGGAAATGTTCAGAAGAAGCAGATGTTGACTCAGTGACATACGAGGAATTTCAGTTTAACGGAGTGCAGGAACAGACAGCGAGCGGCAAGTTCACTTCGTCAAACCTGTGTCGGATCGTTGTGATTAAAATGATCATCAGCATTCAACTGACGTAGAAGCGACCCAATGCTATTCCATCTGCTCGCTCCACCGTACTCAAGTCAGCGAAGCCGGTGCACTGAACAGGACCAAGGATGCTAGTCTTGCAATCTTGCAGACTATAAAGCTTCTCAAAAGTATAGACCTCTGGTTCAACAAAAGCCTGTTAGGCCAGCATCTATACCTCATAAAATCTGTGATCACTTGGTGCATAAAATTTCCGAAATCGGGCGTTTGTTATCCAATCGCCTAGAAATCTATATGAGAAAAATTGGGCGAACTGCCTGATCAATACTCCGAAGAAATATCTCAAAAAGCTCAAACCAAATTTGAACTATTTGCAAAAGTCTGGAGGTCTATACTTTTGAAACGCACCATAGTAATGCGGTTCTAGTCCAGACTCTCGCATAAACTGTCGCATTACCCACCATTTTCAAAAGACGCGTGTACCACCAGCAGCCTCACCTTGCCATCTTCCACCTCGTGAACGGCGAACCCCACTCGATCCTTGACGCCGGGGCCCATGTAGATATCAGCGTCACAGCAATGTGCAAGCTCGGCATGACCGGAGACGAAATCGGCATGGATGTGGGTCAGAAACACGCCTTTCAGCTGTGTATGGTGCTTGACAAGTTCCTAGAGGAACACAATCAACACATGAAAGAGAACATGTTATAGCGGATGTAACATGCAACATGGAATACAAAATACCTGTTCAAAGAGTGAGAAAGCTGTGCTAAAACTCGCTGAAAACGCTAAACTTCAACACTGCCATGCAGTACATCACCACCCCAACATTAACCGTCCCAGGCCAGGTTTGAAAATATCCGGAGAGATCTCCAGGATTCGGGATTACCCTTAATCATTAATTTCCTTTCAAGTCACGGATGGGGTGGGGGCATGTTGCCCAGATCAAGCGCACCCCTTGAAATGATAGAGGTTAGGTGAGATGTTTTGCATGGAGCAGCAAAACTCAGTCATATCACAAGCACCGGTTTGCCACTCCATGTAAATCACACACAATGTTACCTGCATGAGCTCTATGCTTTCGAGAATGAATCTGAAAACTCCACTGCAGCTCGCCATGCTTTGCGACAGCTGCATGTGCGTTTCGGTACCGACTGGACTGGATAGCTGCCATTGAGTCAGCAACCATCTCCATGCAATGCAGTTATGATTATAGAGTAAATTGGCATGTTGTGTATGTTTGCTTTTGTGCGGGGAGGGGGGAGGGGGCAGCACTCTGCCAGCTACATAGTCATTGTAGCAGAGCCAGCACTATCAGACCACAGCAGGCACATCATCAGTGAACTCCCCAGTCCCCACCTGTGTGTAAACATCCACATCACGTCTGGGGTCAATCACGAACGCCGTCTTTGCCTTGCGATCCCTGACAATGTAGGATGCTTGTGCCAGGCAGCCCAAGTAGTAGATGAGAACTTCCACGTTGCCATCCGTCAGCGTCTCCCGATAGCCACTCTGCGTGATGAAGTAAAAGACACCGTGATACACGCACACACACACACACACACACACACACACACACACACACACACACACACACACACACACACACACACACACACACACACACAAACACACACACACACACGCATACTGTAGTGTCACATATAAAAGCATAACCGGTATAGAAACATGACTCGAATAGAAGCCGATCTTTTTAAGCACGTCGTGAGACAGAAGCATGGTTTGAATAGAAGCCGCTCCCTGTAAAGTACATGTGCACGTACATGTGTGGCAGTATGCACTGCACAGTGCAGACTGATAATGTTGACGTAGAAACATGTTATGAATAGGGAGCACAATTTGAATAGAAGCATGGTTTTAACCCCGGCTTATACGGCCGTAAGCACCTGCTTTTATACGCAACATTACAGTATGCAGGTGTGAAGCAGCACACTGTCACTGTTCGGACTACCCCTACCCAAAACTGAAACGTCCATTCAGTGTCGCATGAATTCTGGAACACGGTGCTGTGGGATGGGGGTGGGGACTTAGCGCCCAAGAACGAACAGACTAGAATTTCACCAGGCACAGCGTATTAATCATACGAGGTGACTCCACCGCACATAGACTCGTTATCGAATTCCGTATTGCACATGGAAAATTCAAATCTGAACGGCGTAAAGGCTACAGTCGACTCTACTTGCTACACTTATATCCATCTGCACGATGGTGTTCCGGTTATATCAGTAGTCGACTGTATGAGGCTGGCCGTCCAGTCAGTCTTCAGCACCCCACAGTACACTGTGTCAAGACAGTCCGGGCAGGAAGCGTGAGCTCCGACGTTCGGAGCAGACGCTTTCAATCAATACAGTCAGGATTTGAATCATTTAAATTGCTTGAATTTTAACCCAGTACCCATTATTCGAAGCTTCGCACTTGAGTGCATCGAATTCAGCGAATCCATGGACACGTCAGTGCATCGCTTCATGTACACATCAGCTTGTAAAAGGCTACCTAATAAGGGGACCGTTTGCGAACCCGGCAGACCACTGAATGACGTGCTTTCGAAACGTTAAACAGCATCAAACCGCATTATTTTGAATGTTATCATAATCGTAGAGAAGTGTCCACCCACCTTTTTACAGATCATGCTCAAGGTGTGTGTGTGTGTGTGGGGGGGGGGGGGGGGAGTACTGAATTATTTGCCCCACGAAGCCACTCTGAGCATATCAATGCATAATCATGGTCTATTGACTTGTGGAAGCACATTCTCTAAGCCGCTAAAGGCTAAGGACTTTAAGGTCATGGGCTCACCGGTAAAGTGGGAATCTGGAGTGAATCCTTCTCCTCTACCGCGGATTGACCCAGCTTACACAGTGTTTCAGCCATCTCGAGAACAAACACAAAACCTTCGCCGTGGGCGTAGGTATGCGAGGGCTATAAACTAGTACTAGCAACTACTAGCAAGCCTCTACGAGTCGACGATAGGTATGGCCGGAGCGATCGCTTTTTCTGGCAAGTCGCTGCCGAGCCAGTGTACGAGTAGGCTAGTGAATGGACTTAGTTTTCCGCAAACCGGTCACCGGTAGCCCTGCGCTACTTGTAAGTAACTGCTTTTTAGTTGTAGTCCGATCCATGCCTACTCGTAGTACAATCTACTAGTACTTGTACAGTTCATCAAGGCTGTCGTCTTTTGTCTTTGCCTTTGGCCTTTTTTCTTTTACTTTTTTTAGTTTGGCGCCACAACAAAAGAACGCTTTTGTAAAAAAAGGAAGAAAGAAGAGTGATCAATACGCGTAGATAAGATATCTACGCTTCGCGTTTACAATGGTTTAGCTCTAGCTAGCTAGGTCTACGCGCATTCGCCGTCGAAGCGTCACGTCATGTCAGCGATCTTGCGAGTCGCTTGCGTGCAGGCAACACGAGACCGGACGATGCCACGGGGATTTCCCTAAGTCTACTTTTTTGTGCAGTTGCTATCACCAGATCACAAGTTTCTCAAAACATGCTGTGCGTCGATATGAAGTACACAGTTGACGTCTGCTCTTTCTCCTTCATTTCAAATTTTGGTCAGATCAGGGTGGCATCTAAAGGCGAGCAAACGAACAGTGGACTGCAAGCAGTGGCTCAACTAACCTTTACCTCTGAACTAATGCCACGCATGGGCAACTCTCGCCTTGACCAATGTCTTGCAGCAGCGTGTAATCGCATATAGCCCCAGCACTGATCAGTGACTTTCCAGAGTATTGCATCGAGCCACAGCTACACATAATAATTGTAGGCTGACAGCGTCGTGCTAGTCATCATGGTTCATGGAACGAACAGATCAGTAAGTCGGTGATTCTGCTTCCCGCTCTTCACGTTTTCCACTATCCATTTCTCTACACAAACTGTTCTGCCAATGGTCAAGCCTAGGCGTCGTAATTCCAAAATACAATCGTGAGATTGTTGAGCATATCTCCTCCTGTTCCACGAGAATAAAGCTGCACAAATACTGCATTCTATGGCAACGACCAACTGCAGCTGCATTATTCATGTACATGTTCCGTAAAGCATGACCCTGCCCTGCCATATGTATGCAGCTCAGGTGAACTAGACATTTCAATGTATGAGTCGTGAAGCATGGCATTTGTAATTCTCGACAGCCATGAGGAAATCATTGCACCTTTTCATACATGCATTCACAAGCGCTGTAAGACGTCACTTTCTCTAAGGAGATACTTTGTATGTGCACGGAGAGAGGTGAACTGTGGCTGATGTGTGAGGATTCCGTGTTGGAATCCGCCTGCATGCGCTTGTGTGGTTGCACGTGTGTGTGTGTGTGTGTGTGTGTGTGTGTGTGTGTGTGTGTGTGTGTGTGTGCCTTGCAAGCTGTTGAATGGTGCAATCCCAGCACAAGTTGCTATGGCTTCTGCCGTAGCATTGCTAGCATCGCCTCCGGCGATGGGCGTCAAAGGTCACCGGTGTGTGTGTGTGTGTGTGTGTGTGTGTGTGTGTGTGTGTGTGTGTGTGTGTGTGTGCGTGTGCTGTGTGGTGGATACCAGGCTAAAAATAGTGGCGGTCAATTCATCAGCCTTGCAAGCTGATGAATGGTGTAATCCCAGCACAAGTTGCTATGTCTAACATAGCTGTTCGCTATCATCGCTTCCACGATGGGCATGTCTGAGGTCTGAGGTGTGCGTGTGTGCGTGTGTGTGTGTGTGCGCACACGTGCATGTATGTGTGTGTGTGTGTGTGTTTGTGCATGTGTGTGTGTGTATGTTTGTGTGTGTGTGTGTGTGTGTGTGTGTGTGTGTGTGTGTGTGTGTGTGTGTGTGTGTGTGTGTATGCTTGTGTGTGCGTGTGCGCGCGCATGTGTATATGTGTGTGTGTGTGTGTGTGTGCAACTTTGTGTGTGAGTATGTCTTTGCGTGTATGTGTGTGTGTGTGTGTGTGTGTGTGTGTGTGTGTGTGTGTTTGTGTGTGTGCTGTCCTCTCTCCTTGCTGTATACGCGTGCACGCACATGCAATACTCTCGTTGCACGTAGACGAGTTGGACGGACGATCTGCCCAAGTGCAACATGACCGGTTCCGCAATGGCCCGTAATGGCCGCTACAAGCCGGATGGAAAGGTCAACTTTGAACACGACTTCGAGGACCGACATCTCAGCGTGCGCTACGATGCTGGAGGTGTGTCAGCCAGTGGTAAGAGCCTGTCGTAATGCAGTGTTTTTCGAGGACACCGCTCATAGTTTGCGCCTGTTTCATTTGGTCTGCTTTACGAAGGTTCATTCCTGTACGGTGTGTTCGACGGCCATGACGGAAGTGCCCGTGCATCAGAATATGCACAGGACAAATTCCCCGCCGACTTGCTCTATGATCGACTCGAGAAAGCACACACCGAGAAGCAGCTTTGCGAGGCTCTGCGACAATCATTTCTTGCCGTCGAGGGAGGGTTCTTCGCCAGTTTGGATGCTACGCTGGCAAGACGTGCTCAGATACGAGGACAGCTTCCTCCGGTAAGTGTCCTGGTCGTAGACTGTCCCTACCCCCCTTCTCTGTCTCTCTCTCTCTCTTTTTCTCTGTGTCTCTCCTATTCTCTGTCTGTCTCTCTTATCCTCTGTCTCTGTCTTATTCTATGTCTCTCTCTGTCTCCCTCTGGCTCTCTCTGGCTCTCTCTCTCTCTCTCTATCGCTCTCTCTCTCTCTCTCTCTCTCTCTCTCTCTCTCTCTCTCTCTCTCTCTCTCTCTCTCTCTCTCTCTCTCTCTCTCTCTCTCTCTCTCTCTCTCTCTCTCTCTCTCTCTCTCTCTCCCTCTCTCTCTCTCTCTCTCTCTCTCTCTCTCTCTCTCTCTCTCTCTATCTCTCTCTCTCTCTCTCTCTCTCTCTCTATCTCTATCTCTATCTATCTATCTATTATTATTCTTTATTCCCATAGCTATGCAGAAGATGTTACTTCAGTAACGTCTGGCGCTAGCCAGGGTCCATACAGCTTTAATTTGGTATTTATTCCCGTAGCTATGCAGAAGACGTTACTTCAGTAACGTCTGGCGCTAGCCAGGGTCCACACAGCTTTAATTTGGTGTTTGTTTGTTTGTGTGTTTGTGTCACGCCTGGCGCTATCCCGTCTCTCTCCCGTACCGTACCGTACCATCAAAGACAGCTGGCCACAACAGCTGTCCACAATATTCAAATAGGGCTTTCAAATGCAAGATTATAACGCAAAGCAACATGGAAGAATGAGTATGAATGCGAAGTGTATCGGGGAATGCATGTAGGGCGATAGTGCGGGTTCGAATAAAAAAAATAGGAGAATTGAAAAATGTATAACATCCCTATGCTTTTTTTGCCTAGGTCATCAAGGTGGTAGACGGTGTTGTATTACCCTCGACCGTACCTGTCCCGTACCGTACCATCAAAGACAGCTGGCCACACACAGCTAGCTGGCCACAATAGTCAAATAGGGCTTTCAAATGCAAGATCATAACGTGAAGCAACTTGGAAGAATTAGTATGTATGCGAAGTGTATCGGGGGATGCATGCAGGGCGATAGTGTGGGTTCGAATCCCAGGTTATGTTTAGAAAAAAATAGGAGAAAGAAAATTTATAACATCCCTATCCTTTTTTTGCCTAGGTCACCAAGGCAAAAAAGCATAGTGTAGGGCCCTGAGCTTCCAAGCTCTCTCGTTTCCACGATGTCCCATGGCCAATAAGGAAGATAATATGATTCAAATCAGTCCAGAATCATATAAAATCAGTCTAGCAAGTAAGGAAACCAACACATTGCAGGGGGATGGGGTTACAATGGGGTACAGTGCGAGCCACTACAGGAGCATATGGATGATAGAATGAGGCTAGACGCCATTGATTTAAACACATGCTTGCTATTTGTTTCACGCAGGTCGGGGGGTAGTTGGTTGAAATTGTGAAGGGATAGGTTGATGGGTGAAGTGGTGTGTCGGTATGCGTGTGATGTTCTCAATGTGTATGTTCTCATGTGTCGTAGTGCATATGGCTGCTCTGTAATTGGTCGTGCAAGGTGAGGCTGTTGCAGGTGAAGGGGAGCGCGGATGTACTTGATATTGTGGGCAAGAGTAACCTGTCGTAAGAGTTGCCGGGAGACTAATGTGGGAAGTTGGAGATGGTGAAGAAGTGAGCTGTGATGGACTGGTGCAAAAAGGGGGATCCGCAAGCAGATACGGGCTGCTCGTCGCTGAACGCATTCTAATTGGTCCTTCTGTGTGCGGGTGGTGTTGGATAACACGAGACTGCCGTACTCTATAACCGGGCGGATGTAGGCGGTATAGATTACGAGCAGACTGGGGGTGTTAAGTTGGCCTCGTGTTTTACGAAGTTGGTAAAGGAGTTTTTTTGGATTTGTTTTTGGATTTCGACAGCTCACGCGCCGTGGTCTTGAGGAGTCTTGTTGGGATGTCGTCAAACCCAGGGGCTTTGCAAGGATTAAGGAGGAGCTGTTCCACCTCGGCGGGTGTGGTGGTGAGTTGGGCAAGCTCGCTCTCTCCGGATGTTGGTAGAAGGATGTCGGGGACTGGCTCGTTGTCAACTGAGACGGACTTGACGCCTTCTTGCTTTCTGAAATGAAGAAGCTGTTGAATGCTTCTGCCTGCTCGAAGTTCGATGTGAGCTTCCTGCCATCATGGTTCAAAGCTGGTATTTCCTTTCTTGGTGAAATTCGAAGGGTCTTCATAAGTTTGTAGAGGTTTGGGCGGTTTGTATCGGTTTGGTCACAGTGGTTGTCGGCATTGGCTGGTTTATGAACAAATTTGGACTTGGCACTGCGGAGAAGAGTTGTTGTCTTGTTTCGCTGAGTTGTGAACTGGTCCCAGTCTTCAGCCGTCCGTGTCCGGAGGTATTTCCTGTATAACCTGTGCTTTGCACGGATATTATTTAGCAGATCAGGCGTCATCCATGGGCGTTTTTGAGATACTGCAGATGATCTAGTCAACCGGAGTTGAGTACAGAACTGGTGTGCGGTGCGAAGTAGAGTGTCACGCCAGAGCGACCACAGTTCGGTCAGCGAATATGACGGCAAATCAATGCCGGGTGGCAGGAGTTGAGTATACGCTAGCGCTTCTCTCACGGCGCCAACGTTCTCTGAATTCCAGTTCCAAGTCCAAGGTGGCAGGTTACGTCTGCCACGCTCATCTGCTGGTGGCTGCATGGAGATAGTTCCCTGGATTGCTAGGTGATCTGAACACCCAAACGGTGCTCTGGAAGAAAGTGTGACCTCCTCCGGAGGGAGATTGGAGATGACTAGATCGAGGCACGAATTTAGATGGTCTCGGCAGATGTGGGTGGCAAAGTTTACATGCTGATGGAAACCATATGCATCGATAAGATAGCTAAGTGCGTCACCAGCTCTGTCTGTGACATCAGAATCCAACCAAGAGCTGTTCTTGGAATTGAGGTCGCCGAGGAGGAGGAATGGCGCTGTGGTGTTACATTTCCCGAGACACTATTCAAGTTCGCGGCAGAATAAATTTGGATCAGAGTTTGGTGGTCGATACATGAATCCCACGGTGATTGTACGATCTGAGAGTGTAAGCTCTATCCACAGTGACTGGAAGCTTGGCATGACGACTGTTGTTAGGCGTTTGTGGCAGGTAGGGGCATGTGTGTATAAAGCAACACCTCCACCCATCGTTTCTGTTCTGTCCTGTCTGTAGAGTGTGTAATCTGGAATGTCGTAGAATGAGTCTGGCTCCATGGGGTTTGCCCATGTTTCGCAGACAGCAATTAGTGTGGGCGTGATGCGTGTGATAGTGGGTATGAGCTCGTCCATTTTGTTGCACAAGCTCCTAGCATTAAATGTTTAAAAACTCGTTCCGAGGGAAAATTAGGTAAAGAAATACAACATGCTGGAGCCGAAAGAAGACATGGGACAAAAGTATAATATTATGCAAAAAGGCGAAAATGGTGTAATTACGAGGATATTACAGTACAACACGTTCCGTTCTGTATGTGTGGATATCTTGCACTCACCTAGGACTGTCTGGGTTTGCCTTTTTTCAACTTCTTCTTGTTTCTGGGTGCATTGGCAGTGGCCCCGCGAGGTCTTTCAGGTGTGACACTGCTTCGAGGGCGTTTGGAGCTATGCACTTGAAAACCGTCTGAGTCCGTGTCAGAGTCGCTGCCGGACTTGGTGAGCCGGCCTTGTGACACTGACTGTGCGAGGTCACCAATTGCCTTAGCTGGCAGCTGGAGCTGTGTTTGCGAATCTTGTTGTAGGTTGAACGGTCTGGGCGGTGATTGGTTGAAGTCAGGCAATGGGAGTTCCTCAGATTCTGATGACCAAGCTGATGCAGCCTGCTTTTCATCCGTGCTGCGACCTGGGACTTACTTGTGACGGTGAGAGAGTGTGCTCTGCCCATTCCAGGCTCCAGCTGTACGCTGGGTAGCGTCCTTGGTGGTGTTATCGGCTGATACGGTGGGATTCTGTTCCTGTTGTTGTTGAGCAGTCGAAGACCCTGCAGTGTTTTGGGGTGGGGATACGGTAGTCCCTTGTACAGGGCGCATACCACGCTCCGAGAAATTTCCTTGTTTGGTAGTGCAGTGCTTCGCAATATGCTCCGTAAAGTCACATATCCTGCAAGTGGGCGTTTGGCCTTGGTGGTACACCCGGAAAGTACCTTTTCCGTCAGGGGTTCTGATGTAGCTGGGGATGGTTTTGCCTGCTGAGGGCTTGAATGTGCCAAACCGTACCCCAGACGCGACGTGTACACCTTCGCGTACCGTGATGCGCCCATGCCTGATGTGACCCTGTACGTCACCGTACGGGGAAAGAGCAGCAACAATGGCGGCATCTGCAACCCAAATGGGAACGTCATGGATGTGCAGCTGCGAGTTTCTGTTTACTACGGAAATAGGAAAAATGTGATTTCTTTTGAATTTGAGTCCATTTGCACAGACTTGTTGGGCTAATTGTTCACAAATGAAGGTAAGGCGGCACTGGCCGGCAGTGCTTACCTGGATCGACAGGATTTCTTCAGGATGGATGCCGTGCTGCTCCAAGCACTTAATGTGGTCGATAAGTTTGACTTCTTTCTCCGCTGAGAATGTGACGGTCCGAGCCTTGAGCTCCGTGGCTGTGAGGTGCCTCCATGGGTCCTGCCCTCTAGTGTCCGGGTCCTGAGACACGTGCGGTGGGAGGACACCCTCCCCGGACATCTCAGACAGCTATAAAAAAACTTTCCAGGTGGAGTCCGAAAATGTCTACTGACACATACACACGCTGAAAAATCCTTAGTCTCTATCTATCTATCTATCTATCTATCTCTCTCCCTCTCTCTCCCACTCTCTTTCTCTCTCTCTGAATACCGTAAAAGTCCGTAAATAATTACCTGCCCGAAATAAATACCCCTTCATTATTTTGACTCCTTCTGTTGAAGTAAAGTCAGGCCCGATAAACGTATTGCCTGAAATATGTACCGGTATGGTTTGCGCATGCAGCGCTTCGCATGTACATCTACATGAAAAATGACTTCTCCACTACGCACAAGTCAGGTCCGAAAGCTAGTTCGTGCCCGAAAGTCAGTACCTGCTCAAAAGTCGGTACCTGCTCGAAAGTTGGTACGGGCGTGACCACTAAATTCGAAAGTAAGTACGTACTTATTGACCTACTTTTACGCTAGTGTACTGAGCCATTTACAATACTCATCGAACCTAGATTGTCTTGATGGCTTTGTTGCGGCTTTTCTGACTGCTCTTATAGCCAAGAGCTTGTGGGCAGGTAGGTGTATGGTCCCAGGGATGAATTTACTGCCATGTTTTTGCATAGCAGTTTTTCCTATGCAAAATCTGGTGTAAGGCGAGACCAAAATAAAATCGAGATTCCCGGGCAGGACCCATCTGAAATTGGTGCGGGCGGGCGAATTTTAATTTTTTATTTTTTTCCTATGTGTGTATGCATGGCATGCTGAACTTTTTTTTTACAGTATTTTCCGGTATTTATTTTTTATTTTTTACAGACGACAGGTATATGGTACGTGGTTTACCGGTACCCGTTCAATTTCTTTTGTATTTCGGCCAACAACAGCCCTGAGTCGTAGATCTACACCAGGGAGTCGTACAAGCCCAGGTTTGTGTGACACCATGTCACAGATCTACTCGCACGATCAGTACTGTACATAATACGACTGTTCAAAAAAAAAAAAATTGCCTTCGGCTCGATTTTGGTGCGGGAGGGCCCGGGAATCTCTATTTTTTTTGGTCTCGCCTAAACTACAAAAAGCATGAATAGTAGTAGCCTGTGCATGTATGTATCGCAGTTTTCTGCGTGTCACTGTCATTTTTGAGTAGCAGTAGATTGATTTTGCGTAGCAAAATGCGATGCAATACCGGATAAATTCATCCCTGGACCGTCCTATTAACTAAGGATGTTACCGGGTAGCAGGCTACACGTAATTAGATCGGGTACCTGGTTAGCGATTTGCTCCTGAGAACCCGATCGGGTAGTTGGAGTACGGTGCTTTTGCAACGGCACATGTGAAAAGCACGGCTTCGTGCCTACTGTACACGTTCTATGTGGCGCAAGTGCACACCCACAGTACAAACTATATCAGAAAATACCCGATAGGGTACCTGTGCTACCCGGATAAAAGTACCCGAACCTGTTACCAGACCAAACCCTTACCCATTGCAGCCCTACTAATAACCTTTGCTTCAGGTCTGACCTTTCTTTTCTGTTTTCTTTCTTGTTTTGTTTTTAAACTTCATTTCCAGGGTCTGAACGACTATCAGTTGTATGAGAAAGTCCCCGGCCTAGTGACAGAGTTGCAGTCGCTGAATGAGGCCATCACAGGAGGCACCACCGCTGCGCTGGCTCTCATCCACCAGAACTCGCTGTTCACGGCCAATGTCGGTGATAGCAGGGTCGTCTTGGCAACCTGCGCCAACTCTGTGCTGCCCATGATCAGGTAGGTTGTTGTATTTATTAGTTTCTCATGTGCTCCCCCAACCAATGACATCGCAAGTTGCAAGTTGCACGATAGAGAACACATAAAACACATCGCAAGTTGGAGAGGAGTTTGCTAGGGTAATCCCCACAGACTATACTCAGTCATTTTACAGAGTACCCTGTGTGTGTGTTGTTTATGGCCACATGATGTTGGCCATGTTGGTTCCAGCCCCGATCAAGCCCAGTATCAATGGATCACATGATGCCGGCCATGCAATACACCACTTCTTCGCATTGGAATATGCATGATGGCGTTAGAAATCCTTTCATGACCCTCCATGTAGGACAATATATTTATTTAGGCTGAAAAAGCCACGTGGTATTTCTTACCAATTGCATTGCGGTATGCATGTGCATCCATTTCAATAATGGATTCAATTTAGTTAGCTTTCGCTACGTAGTGACACTCCCTGCTCTCTCTCTCTCTCTCTCCCTCTCTCTCTCTCTCTCTCTCTCTCTCTCTCTCTCTCTCTCTCTCTCTCTCTCTCTTTCTCTGTCTCTCTCTCTGTCTCTCTCTCTCTCTGTCTCTCTCTGTCTCTCTCTCTCTCTCTCTCTCTTTGTCTCTCTCTCTCTCTCTCTCTCTCTCTCTCTCTCTCTCTCTCTCTCTCTCTCTCTCTCTCTCTCTCTCTGTCTCTCTCTCTCTCTCTCTCTCTCTCTCTCTCTCTCTCTCTCTTCATGTCCCTAAAATGCAGCCATGTCTCTGGCGGACTTGCTCCGGCCCAAGACCTAGTTGAAGCTCATCTGCTGACTGTCGACCATGACTGCAACAACGATGCTGAATTGGAGCGTCTTTCCTCCATTGGCTTGGATCGTGACCGAATACGCCGGAACAAACGCGTAGGCAGCCATGAGAACACGCGCAGCATTGGCGACTACTCAATGAAAGGCGGCTACAAGGAGTTCGAGGAGATCCGGTGAGAAAACCAGGAACATAGGCAGGAGGGAGGGGGGGGGGGGCGTTGTTACGTTTACGCAATATAAGTTACCACGTAAGAAACAGTGCACTGTTGTGTCCAGGTCACCCGTTGAGAAACGACCCACACGATTCGCTTGTGCCCGCCCATGGGCGTCGGAAGGTGATGTAGGCTGGTATTGTCAGCCATCTGGGCAGCAATTTACTTGTTGGGAAGGGTGACTTTGCTGGAAATGTTTCGAAAGCCGAGCTCAGTACTTTTGACGGTAGTGACCGTGACTGTCCGACGCCCCTGCGGTCAGAGAATGATAAAGAACACGAAGCTTTGCACGTTGGTTCGGATTTCACCGAGCGCATCTCTAGCTGTTGTCTTGTTGTTGTTGCTGCTGTTCTTGCAGGCAAGCGGTCAGCGAGCCCCTGGTAGCGGAGCCATTCATCCAGCGTGCCCTGCCCATACAGAATAACTGGCTGTTCATGTTCCTGATGTCCGATGGCGTCTACAAGGCGGTGGAGGAATCCCACGGTCTTCCGTCGCACATGGCCAACGTCTACATCGCGCAGATCATCTCTCACCTGCTGATGAGCTCGGCGTCGATTCAAGCGGCCACCGAGGGCGCTCTGAACTACATCCTCACCGACCACCTCAAGGCGTTCCTGTCCGGCGATCAGGAGAAGGCGATCCGGTGTCGCAAGCGCGACGACTGCACGCTAGTAGTGCGCTGTTTCCATCACGCCGTTCCGCTGCAGCCCCCACTGGCCGCCGCGCCAGCTAAACCTCCGGTGTACGAGTGCGTCGGTGCGTCGCCCACGAGTACGAGCAGTGCCGGAGGCGAGAACAAGCTGTCCATCGACACGTCCGGCACTCCAAAGCACCCGGCCGTTGCCACCGCGTCGGCCAGTACGTTCTACACGCCCACCGGGAGTCCGCTACCGCTAGCGTCCGGTGGCCTCAAGCTCTCCAGCAGCGCAACGAGCGGAGAGTACGCGTTCAAGCGTCTCGGCGAGCCGCTTTCATCGGCCTCCTCCGGCGACAAGACGCCGTTCTTTGCACAGACGTCACAGGGCAGCTCGCAGCAAAATCCATTCGTTCCACAAACCAGCGGCGGCGACTTGACTTCGATCGGCGCGAGCGCGGTCGTTTCCGGCACTACACCCGTGTCGGCGGCGTCTAGCTCTCCGCACTCTCGAGACGGCTCCTTTACCGACCGTCCTGATCGTGCTGCTGGTCTGTCGTTATCGTCGTTTTCGAGCGGTTCCAACACCGACCCGTCCCCTACTCAGACCTCTCCTCGTTCGCAGCAGCCGCCGCAGCAGCAGCAGCCACCGTTTGATCCGTCCAAGTGTCCCCCGGACATGGTACTACCGCACGCTGGTTTCAGCGTGCCCGCCAACTTTCCAGACCACTTCCCGCCGGAGCTGGACTTTTAGTTCTACCCAGAGTGCTGGGTTTCTTGTCCGCTTTTGCTGTGCAACCGGAAAACAGTGCTGACGGTTCGTGTCTGGGTATGTGTGTGTACGTGCATATTATATCATTATGTGTGTGTGTGTGTGTGTGTGTGTGTGTGTGTGTGTGTGTGTGTGTGTGTGTGTGTGTGTGTGTGTACATGCGTGTGTGTGTGTGTGTGTGTGTGTGTGTGTGTGTGTGTGTGTGTGTGTGTGTGTGTGTGTGTGTGTGTGCATGTGTGTGCGTGTGTCCTGGAAATCTTGCCATTGATATGGAGGCGCTTCCTCAATTCGATGGTAGCGTATAGGTGACTTTTGTGGTGTGTCTTATTTTGCTTTGTGTGTGTGTGTGTGCGCGCACGCGCGCGCGCGTGTGTGTGTGTATGCTGCCATCATCTCCGGATTGGGCATACTGTACTGTATTGTGTTGTTTATGTGTATACTGCTGAAACTATTCTTAGTCTGTCTTTTTGTAGTGACTTGTATACCTAAAGACCTAAAAAATATAGAGAAAACATAAAACACATGCTATTTTCAAACTGTTGCTCATGTTTTTTATGCCCTTTCTAGTATGTTTCCAGTTAATCATTGTGTGGTTGTACTTCAAGTAATTGTTGTACTTTGGGAAGTGCAATTAAATGTATCTGACAGTGTCGGAGCTTGACGCCTTCGCTGTTTTTTCATAATTATTGAATGTGCTGCTATGCTAAGTCAGCATTCAATGCAGTGCTCCTTTTTACTGTGGCTGCTCTGCGTATCATGGACGGTTTAGTGCTTCTAAGTTCTCGGTCTCTTTTCGTTGAGCTGTTTTTGTTTTGTTTGTATGGTCCCTGAACTTCACTGCAAGCTGCTTGCACAAGTTCACCGCAGACTTTTTTTCGTTCTGTGTTCCCGCTGTGTCCGCGTTGCGAGTATGCTGTGCCCTTTTGTTTGCGGCTGTCTGTTGGAATTGCTGAACTAACAGGTAGCTGCTGCGCTGCACTAATAACGTTATCCATTTTATGTTCATTGGTTATTTTCAACATTATCTTTGGTGTGTCGTCTACAGTCCATTTCAAAACTATAGACGCGCAGGGTTTTGGAAATATTTCAAATTTGGCTGGAGTGGACCTTTTTGAGAATAGTTTTCGGAATATTGCTCAGGACCGCTCCACAATATTATAGTTTCTAAACGATTGGATAACAGACACCCAATTTGGAAAGTTTTATGCACTAAGTGATCACAGATTGTATGTGGTATCAAGAGTACATGAATTTCATGTACTCTTGGTGGTATAGATGCTGGCATAACGGTTTTGCCTAGGTACGCGTCTATTTTTGAAATGGACGGTAGGGTTTCAACTGTCAAAGGCCGACTTTAGACTGTAACCCCATGTGTACGTGTTTATTGCTGGTAGCGGGGAGTCATTTTTTTACTACTCTCTGTTTGTACAATAGTCATGTAGCTGCTTCTGCCAGTGAGGACCCACCATGCTGTAGTGCCACACCGAAGTGCATACATGTACATGTAAAAGCTAAGGTCAGCAGGCAAGAAAGAAAATCGCTCTTGTCCGCACACACTTTGCTATCACCCGTTTATATGAGCTATCTTTTATTTTTATTTCTCTCCGCAGCTTCTTCTTCATAAATAATAATAATAATAATAATAAGCTGTTGACGGAGACTCCCTCGATGTAGGCTAAGGCCTGTGGAGATAAAATAGATCCATAAAATAGTAAATACAAATGCGAGACTGAATGCAACACTTGTCGACCCCTCTAGTCTAGACCCAGATGCGGCATAACGTTATCCACCGTATGCTTTGGGTGGTCAAATGATACCGCGGCATAACGTTATCCACCGTATGTTTTGGGTGGTCAAATGCTACCGCTGTTGATAGTTTGTAAAAAAAGGTTGTCGGGTCTAGTCGAATCCTTTCATAGAGTTCCTCGATTGGCTTCTGCAAAGTACAGTGTACAATGTGCGCTAATTAATTATGTGCAACATTACAACCTCTGTCACACTTCTGCCTTCTGGTGCTCTTCTGATGAGATTGGTAAAACAGCGCAGCCCACGTGTACAGTGCAAAACGTGTTAGTCTGTCGTGTCCATGTACTGAACCGGCATTCAACATTTCCATTGGCTGTTCAGCTTTATAGGGGGCAACTTTTAACACCCCGCTCAGCATGACGGCCTGGATCTGGGCTATCCGGGTGAATTATTTCCAGGGCTTGTGTGAGCGATACAAGCTGGTTTGTGGTCAACCGGTAGATTGCCTCCGGCTCGTTGATCACATGCTCATGCTACTGCTTTGCAAATTGCAGTCCGTGGGCGTGGGGCACATCGATTACTAATAGTAGCCAAAATGGTGTTTTTATTGACGTTTCATTTCTTCAAAGCATGTAAGCGTGGGTTCGCTGTCTAACTGCCAATGGGCTTTACTTGGTACTAGTACTACTAGTATTCATTTTGGTACTATGTAGGTTTGGGCCTTGTATTTGCATTAAATCCTGCTGCACTATGACGTTTGTTGCTGTTTTTGTTGTTTATTTTACTTCGCAGATTCTAACGGGCAAGTTGCCCAATGACAAGAAAGCGAAGGCAAAGACTAAATAATAATACTAATAAAAGAAATAACCGGGGGCAGCAGAAAATGAATAATAGCTTTAAGAACTCAGATGGTGAGCCAAGGAACAAATTTCCGTGTTACAACTAATCGCTTTTAAAAGTAAAAAGAAAAGAGCGGGTGGTACAGCAGACTTCCTATTCTGAATTCCCTGAACGAAGCAGGGACATTAGCTGGGTACATGTCATTATTACAAAGTAGGAAGAGAGCTACCTCGGTCGACATCAGTGGACCGAGTTAGCTCTCTTGCTACGTTTGAGTGAGAGTCTGTGAGCGTTCTTGAGCACGCACGTACAGTCCAGCACCTTTAATTACGCTACGTTACATTGCATGAACATTTACCGCCGTACTGCTGCCTGAAGCAAATGCAGCAATGCGTGTACCGGTACTGGGACTACACAGCAATACAAGGGCACAGAAGAGTGATTATGAAAGGTGTGCTGTGAAGAACAACTCGGAGTTGAACAAAAAGCTGCTTGCTCTCTGTTTTATTTGTGTGTTTAGGTATGTTTCAATTCGCACTGTCAACGCGAGTTGACCACAGTAGTACATGCATTGATAAAAGCGAATGCACAATGGGATTCGCATGACCCCACGTGCCGCAAATGAATCCAGAAAGATGTGGAAGCCACTGAGAAAGAAGAGCAGCATACTTAGTCTTATCGGCAGAGGTGTCCAGTTTCTGAACATCAGTGTTTAAAAGTGTATACACCAGGATCAAACATGCATAGTTGAAGTAACGTTACATGAACTACAGAGCAACAAAACACCAACCCAATGACTATTTCTTCCATGGGAGCGTGCGCCACGCTAGTGCCAGTGGCGGCGCATCAGTATGGGGGGCATATCTCGCGAACTTCCAAGAAAGACGTTGTCACCCACCCTGAGTTCGTGGTGTCTGCTTGCGCCAAACCAGGCTGAGTCACTGGACCAACCCACACTGTGATGGAGTGATTTCCCGCGCCTATCAAGGCTCCGCTGACGTCCGTCGACTCGCAGATACCAGTCAGCACAGCAGGCATGTGGTAGAACGCGGCGGTGCTATGCCAAGTGCCCATGTCGATTGGAGTGGGAACAACGCATTCCTTTCCGTCGATCTGGAAATACCACCTTGAAACCACCATAGACTCGACAACTGCAATGTTTAAGGAGTAGGTCATTTTCAGGAGGGTGCTGTTGTGCTTCTTAGTGTAGGCGAGTGTGGCCGTTAAACCCTCTTTCTTATCGTCGAAGAGGTTGTGCAAACTCTGATATTGGTAGCCTACTTCTCCCACAGTGCACCTGCTAGCTGTGATCTGCATAAGACAAATGCAAAACGTGACACAACGCATGAGGTCGAGATGGCTGCTCTATTCATTCCACGTGCTGTAGTTACCCTCCCTTCCTCATGCCCTGTCTGTCTGTGTTTCTGTCTGTCTTTCTGTCTGCATGTTCGCCCGTTCAATCGTCTGTCTGTCTGTCTGTCTGTCTGTCTGTCTGTCTGTCTGTCTGCCTGTATGTCGTCTGTCTGTCTGTTTGTCGCTCTGTCTGTCTGTACATCTAACTGTCTGTGTGTCTGGTTGTCTCTCTGTCTTTCATAGTTTCTCTCTCTCGCTCTCACTGTATCTAAGGTTTTCAAAATGTGTTCTTTTGCTGTGATTTTGTACAAATTCCCCGGCTATATTCGGTTGCACAGCTATATCCAGGCAGCTGCGATGTGAGCGGTTTTTCCGAGCGACACGCTGCAAGGATTTTCTTATCTGGGCTTGCGCAAGCTTTCGTGCGAAGTTTGTGTTATGCATGATGTTAGCTCGAAGGAAAAGCAGATTTTGAAAAAAAAAGTTTTTATTTAATTATTTAATACAAGTGCCCATGGACTCCAATCTGGTTAGAATTGGTAGGCAAAAGGATGGCGAGACCTAGTGCGTGCACGTATGTTTGTTCGAAAGTTGATCTTGAACAGATTTACCACCCCAGTTGTTGCGAATCGTGGCATCCTGAGTTCAAGAGCGCTAGTTGACTACGTTGACCATAGCCGGAGACCAATGGACAAACGGGTCCGGGCCTGTACCATAATCTGGCACATCAAAGCCAGGTCCATCTGCAAAATAACATCTCTGCTGCAGCCGAGTCTGAGAAATTTCAGCAGTCCGGAGATCGGAGATGCTTCCAGCGATAACGAAGCCATATCGGGAAAACTATCAGACAACCACCAGACGAAGCAAAGAACAGATCAACTGGATTTTGGAAGGCGAAGCACAACACATTGCATAAGCGTCTGTTGTCCAGCGTTCACGAAACTTTCTAGGAAAGTTTGCTTTGTGCTCGCTCAACTTTCTCGCGAACTTCCGCGCAAAGGTTCTCATTTTCATTTCTTCCAACGTTCGCTCTGCAAATCCTTTCTAGTGCTAGTTTGTGAATGTATTCGCTCTAAGCCAGAGTGGCGTTGGTGTCCTGTTTTATTTTTTGTAACTCTGGAAATCGAGTTCTTTTCTATTAGAGTGAGAATACCTAGGAACTACGAGAGGGGAACCAAACAAAAACAAGACAATTGTGCAACAGCGGGTGTTCATGAGCTAATACGCAGGGGCTTCACTGTTGAGGTGCGGTGTGCTCCCCGGAGTCCGGACCAATGACATCGCAGTTTGATGTGGTCAGCACAGCACGGTCATCAGACCCATCACTTACTGAGCTCATCTCTTTCTGCGCACGTTGCTGAGCTTCCAACTCCTCAATCCTCATCTCTAAGCGCTGGTATTTGTCTAATGGAACAGAAAACAGCAAAAAAATACAGTAATCGTGAAAGCCTACTCTGCAGAAATTTAGATATCTCAGCCCTGGCACATCCATAGTCTGAGGTATGACAGGATCCGTTTCATGCTGAGCCGACCAGGCGACAGTGGAAAGGGAAATCAACGTGCAATTACGTACCAGGACATTGTCCCCGACACAGGAGCGTGCCGGCTAAGACCATTGAGAACACCATCCAAAACGAAGAGCCCATTTTTGAAGCCGCTTGCAGCTTTAGGACAAAGACAAATGCAAAGAAACTGAACAGTTACGTCTATAAAACTAGCAGACTTGGAACGACTAAGCCACTCGCCACTCGTGTTTTGTCCTTGGTGTTACCGGCGAGCGAGCAGTGTAGCGAGCTGCATTAAATCGTAGCATGGCCTGCTGGTATAGCGGGTGATTTTGTGAAACGGATGCCGCGAATAAATTGATCGATTCCAGCGTGCCATGCAAGGTAGGCGAGGCTGTCGGTCGGCTGATTTGTCAAGGCGCTGTCACCAGCCAAATGCCATAATTTATTAACAAGTATCCTAGGGTTGTATTTGTTTGCCACGACGACCCACCGATCACGCAAATGTGCAGTTGAACGTGAAGATCCACCACCCTTCACGTTGAGAAGCGCAGCCGGTCAATACAGACTCAGTCAACGCATGTCATTGGATTCGCATGTTGATGAACATTTATTTTTATTTTTGGTGAGTGAAGAGCAAGATATGGAAAGAGAGAGATAGAAATGGAGAGCACGACAATTCAGTGGGTGAAGGTTCTGGGAGTCATGGAAACCCGGATCGTACAACAGCAACAACAACAAACCAACACGACCCACGCCCAGTTGATACCTTCTGGCGATCCTGGCGCGACAAAGTCCTGAGCATCGCCCAAGAACACTGCCAAGTTACTCGCACTCACCCCCCTTGGGACAGGAAGAACGTCCCAGCACGACCATGGATATCAAAGGGCCTCTTGAAAGAGAGCAAGGATAAGCACAGAAAACACAGAATAATTATACCTTCACTCACGCTCGCCTGACGACTGGAACACGTTCACTGCCCAAAGAAACCGTGTCACCACCCTCCTGCGTCGTGCAAAATCGGATTTCGTAAACAACTCAACAGCCTCCTCTACTTCCCTGCACCGCCTCATGAAGCACCTAACTACAGCTACAAAACAACGCATACCCGAACTCGTCAGCCAAGCAACTCCTGCAATGACACCAGCACAAAAAGCAGCTGCCCTCAACGAATTCTTCATTTCACAGAGCAAGCTGTCCGTGGCCAATGCGGATGAGCAAACTCCAGCCATCAACACCACCCCTGACATCCTCAGTCCCCTTCAAGAGATCTCGACTTCCCAAGCTGAGGTCGAAAAACTCCTCCGCGGAGTTGATACCAACAAAAGCCCCGGGTTCGACTCTATTCCAAACCGCTTACTCCGAGAAGCGGCTAAGGAACTTGCACCGTCGTTATCGTCCCTCTTTAATCTATCATTCCAAACCGGAGAAATCCCACAGGAGTGGAAAGATGCCACCATTACACCAGTGCCCAAGCCTGGTGACCCAACCCAACCAACAAACTATAGACCCATCTCTCTCTTGAGCACTACATCAAAAATCCAAGAACAAATTGCACATCAACTCCTCTACAAGCACATAATACCCCACCTACTCAACCAGCAGTCTGGATTCCGTGAGAAAGACGGCACTGAGCAGCAGCTTGCCCGTCTCGTCCATACCCTCTCCACTGCGAGAGACAACGGGAAACACGTCAATGCCTGCTTTTTTGATCTAAGCAAGGCCTTCGATCGTGTGTGGCATGCAGGCCTTCTAGCAAAACTCTCCCACTATGGTGTTCAGGGCAACGCCCTGGAGTGGTTCCGACGGTACCTGTTGGGGCGTCGGCAGAGGGTCCAAGTGGATGGCGACCTATCGCCTTTCCTCGAGATCCCTGCCGGCGTCCCTCAGGGGTTGTTCTTGGGCCGCTTCTCTTCCTTGTCTACACCATAGACCTTCCACACACATGTGAGAATCCCGGCACCACCTGTAGCCAATTTGCAGATGACACCGCTCTGATTTCCATAGCGAGAACTCTTCAAGACTGCACCCGAAACGTACAACAGAGTGTCACAGCAGCTGGAGACTTGCTTCAAAGATGGCACCTGCTGGTTAGCACAAAGAAAACAGTCATCCTCCCGTTCTACCACAATAACCACCCCCCTGAACAGCTACCCCAGATCACACTCAGGAATAGTCCGCTTACCGTAGCACAAAAACACAAACACCTCGGAATAATCTTTCAGCATGACCTCCGTTGGACGGAGCATGTTGAATTCATAGTCAAAAAATCACTCAAGTCTTTCAATATTCTTTTTAGACTAAGGTCTACACTCACCAGTGATTCTTTATCTCACATCTATCAGACATACATACTACCTATATTCTCATAATTATGCGAGCAATGCTCTCACACCGTTGTCACCCACTTCCCTTGACAGGCTAGAACGACTCCAGCGGAAAGCCGCCAGAATAGTTCTCCACCTTCCCCTTTACACACACTTAGAACACTCCCACCTTTTGCATCGCATCAAATGGCCAACATTATTTTCACGCTTTAAAGTTAAACATATACTCTTCGCGCATTCTCTGCGCCACAATTATGACCCACCACATAATACTCTCGCTGCATACTGCTAGCAACGTGCAACCTTCGTATAATTTACGTCGCTCTCGTACTTGGCACTTCCCAACTCCGAGGACTGATCGCTGTCTCCATCCTCCCCTGTACAAGGCCCTTCATTACTTTAATTGCTTGCCCACCCAGCTTCGCGAGATCCCTTCTCGTACTCTCTTCAAATCCCAGATATCCCTGCTGTTGCACAACTCTGTATGCTCGTGTAGCGACCACTCCTGCCCGTACACTTAAGTAGTCATTAACCCCTAGGCTCTGCCCACCCAATTCTTCCTCACTCTTTCTCCTTTCTTTCACTATTATCTCTTATTGGCCACACTCTTTCTCCTTTCTTTCACTATTATCTCTTATTGGCCACTGGCTATCGTGAGAATAAAGATTTGAAACAACGACAACATTGAACACATCAGCAGCAGAAGCAACAACAACAGCAGCAATAACAATAACTGTTGAACATCTACAACAACAATATCTCTTATTGGCCACTGGCTATCGTGAGAATAAATATTTAAACATATCTCTTATTAGAGAGTTTACGCTTCACGTTTTTTCCATTTCGAACGTGAGATCTCACGGCCAAAATGGCGCATCTCACGTTGAAATGTTTTTATGGCTAGCCAGCATCTAGGCTTGGCTTGGAGTCGTGACTCAACTGGGCTTTCTTCTTCTTCTTTTTTCTCTCTTTTTTCCCTTTCTCTTTTTCTTTTTGAGTATTTGCAGTCTGTGTTGTCTGTGTTTCTCTCTTTCGTGGAGGCTTGCTTGTTGTATCCTTGGCTCTCGGCCGTTACTTTATCGCCATCATAATATTGGGCACCATTGCCAGTTTGGTCTGCGATACAAAATAAAATTTCAACATCAACAACAACAACAAACGTGAGATTTCAACGCGGCAGCGGTCCAACTCACGGTGGAAAAAAGCGTGAGTTTATTTAAGTAATTCCAACGGTTTTTGCTCAGAATCTCGGGAATCTAGATAACTCTAGTACAATTCGATTTTTCCCTTTTGTTTTTTAAACGAATCATCCTCGCCTTACTCGGGTCGCACCCCCATGACCTCCTTGGTTTCTAAACGGATCAACCTCGGGTCGCGACCCCATGACCTCTTCCGAAAACTCACGTCATTTCAGCACGCGCAGCGTAAACTCTCCACACAACTCCAACACGGTCAAACTCAACGCACGTGTTGTTGTTGTTGTTGCTGCTGCTGCTGCTGCTGCTACAGCAGCTACTGCTGTGGCTGTAGTTACAGCCCCTGTCGTTGTCAGGAAATGTTTGCTTGTGCTACTTCTCATCCAGTTGACTTCTTATTATGACTTTGTACGTTATAATTTTGTTCAGCTCCGGTTTTCCCCTTCATTCTAACTCAAGTGCAGTTTAGCGTGTATTGGCTTGTGATTTCCTTTCTTCTGTTTGCTTGGAATTTTATCGCTCCACAGGTACCCTCAGTCTCAGGTGCTCTCACATTTGTGTAATTGTTGATTTTGGTCCTGAATTGTCCTCCCTGTTGCTTTGCTACCGTCCTCCTCCTTCCTCCACCTTTTTTTTCTTAATTGGCCTCATTATGGCATTCGCTTCCATGTAATTGGACTTGTAGCCCGTGTGTACTTGCGAATTCAAATAAAAATATACATACATACATACATACGTTTTTTTCTCACGTTCGAAATTGAAAAAACGTGAAGCGAAAACTCTCTATTGACCGCTTGCTATCGTGAGGATATACATATAGATTTGAAACAACACACGGCTTTGGAAAGTTTGGATATAACCGGGAGACCATACCACCACAAAAGTGCGAAACCCCTGATCACTCCAGTTCCAGCAGAATTCCTTCATTGAGTCACAGTTGCCTTGGTGCAGTGTGATCGATTGCTTCAGCAATCGTGTAACTGTTAGGAAAGTATCCTAGTCTTGTTCCCGGAGATCGCAAGGAAGCGACAATCTACTAGTGGGATGACGTGATTTGGATGAAGGAATGGATACATCTTGCAGAGTGCCAGATGAATGCCAGTTATGCACTTTCTGTGATTGCAGTTCCGTTTATGGGTTTCATGTTTAGAAGCAAGAATCACGGAAGAAAAGACGCCACGCTTAATTAAGGCATACAAGAAAAGACGCCACGCTTAATTAAGGCATACACCAAACACCTTTTTTGTTTTTGCCATAAAGCAGTTTTTATTGCTATAATCACTTCTGCGATGCGATGAGAGTCGAACGAAAATCTTTTTCGAATCGCACAAAGAGTCTTCAATGCACAATGCACGGCACAGCGTTGCAGGGCATGCACAGTCCAAAACTGCACGGGAGCTGTCACGTGCGCCCACCGTGTAGAAAGAGTGCTACATCAGTTGAAAGAGCATGAATAGCTGCAAAATCTCTGAAAATGTTGTCCGACCTGACAATCAATAGTTATGGCCGAATATGTGTCCTTGCAAGGAAAGATTTTTTTGTTGCACGCTGTTATTTTTTGGCAGCACTGTATTTGAATCTGGGCAGACCGTGTGCAACTTGTCGTATCATGGAAACACGCGAAAGTGTGCAGAATTTTGCTCCAAGTCCAAAAATCACGTTTTTTTAGCCATGTACATGTATTGTTCTGCACGGCGGCGGGTTTCCCCCGCCGCTGTGCAGCAGGACTTTTGCTAGCACCCTCGTGACGTTGCAGATACTGCTTGTGGCTTGATTATTGTAGTTGACATTGATTTAGGGACTTTGGCAAGTTTGAGTCGTGTCAAGAAGTCAGATACGTACAGAGGCTTCGTACGCCCTGCCCTGTACTCGAAACGCACCATTGATATGGATGGGCGCAGCTAACTCTCACCTGCAAACTCCATCGTCATCATAACATTGGGCATGATTGCCCGTTTGCCTTGAGATGTAAAATAAAAGCAATACAAAAATACAATACAAAAGTCTCGACCGAGTACAGTAGTCCGTGGGCCAAACCTGAAAAAAGGCCTCCTAGAAAAATCTCTTTCCGACTTTTGGGCACCGCAATTTTATTGGCCACGTCTACTCTAGATACCTTACTGACTAGGATTCAGGTTGTTGTCACTCTGACAACTTTCTGAAAGGTATCCAACGAGCGCCTTTTCCATGTTGAGAATTTCTCTCTAGGCGACCATTGCGCGCACCCCTCGATAGGCGATTTGCCTTTGGGTCATCCTAACAAAGTTACTGTTATTATTATTAATATTGTTTAAAACAATGGTCGCCGAGAGAGCAGTGACATTTCTGTACAGTAGAAATCCCCTTATCCGGGCAGATTTGCCCTGGGCTCTTCACGCAGGGATTGATCGTAATGTCATCATCTATCCATGCCCCCCCCTCTCTCTCTCTCTCTCTTTCTATCTCTCTCTCTCTCTCTCTCTCTCTCTCTCTCTCCTCTCTCTCCCTCCCTCTCTCTCTCTCTCTCTCTTTCTCTCTCTCTCTCTCTTTCTCTCTCTCTCTCTCTCTCTCTCTCTCTCTCTCTCTCTCTCTCTCTCTCTCTCTCTCTCTCTCTCTCTCTCTCTCTCTCTCTCTCTCTCTCTCTCTCTCTCTCTCTCTCTCTCTCTCTCTCTCTCTCTCTGTCTCTCTCTCTCTCTCTGTCTCTCTCTCTCTCTCTCTCTCTCTCTCTCTCTCTCTCTCTCTCTCTCTCTCTCTCTCTCTCTCTTCCTCACTTGATCTTCCTCCCTCCCTAGCTGCATTCCTATAGATGCCTGGTCGTAGGCTATGATTCCGAGACCTCCGGCCTGGCAAACCACATCGGCACATCACCCCTACTCCCCTTGGTCTTGTGGTCCAGTGTCATTTAAGTTGTCCTCCTCCCCTGAAAATTAGTAGGGCTGTGTTTGCTAGTAAAAGAAATGCATGGGCAACAAATTGTGAAAAAAACTTGTAAATGCATTTTTTTGCTCCTAGGTGGCCCGCACAACGTTGCACTATGCCGGAATTTTGAGTTTTTCCTGTCTGGAAAGCCTGTCAGTGAGGCGCAAGAACTTTTAAATCATGTCCAGAGGGCCAGCATAGTGGCGGGAGTGTGTGGTCAAAATTTCACTCCAATCCATTAAGAGACACCAAAGTTACGGTCAATTGAATGCCATATGAAATTTATGGGTAGGCCGCCCCCTTAAGGGATGCGCATCACTCGTCGGAGAAGTACATGTACCCAGTCGGATTGACATTCTTGCAGTTACGGAAACCTGGTTAGATACCAGTGTGGTCGGTCGTCGCAGAAGTTGAACTAGGCTCAACTATGTTGCTTTTTCCCGCGATGGGACCTGCAACGGAGCTGCGACAACCTGCGATTCAAAATGTTGGAGAAAAACTCTCGATCGCATCGCTCATCGCGTCGCAGAAGTGATATTGTGCATCGCGCTGGAGTAAGTAAGGGAGAGGTAGTGATAGATAGATAGATAGTCTAGAGTGAGAGAGAGAGAGAACGAGAGAGAACGAGAGAGAGAGAGAGAGAGAGAGAGAGAGAGAGAGAGAGAAAGAGAGAAAGAGAGAGAGAAAGAGAGAAAGAAACAGAGAGAGAAACAGAGAGAGAAAGGTGTGAGAGAGATAGAGAGACCGAGAAGGAGAGAGAGACAGAGACCGAGAAATACAGACAGATAGAGAGAGAGGGGGAGACGGCGGAACCCAACGTGCAACCATGCACTAACGCTTCTTCCACAAAAAAGGACAGATTGTTCGCAATCAGCTTCGTTTCCTCAGGCCGAGAGTGTGTGAGAGCGAGAGCAACTTAGATATAGACATAGTAGGCCGTAAGGCTCTGCTGCAATTAGGACCATTTAAAAAATAATTCTGGGAATCTGTACTGTTTTGTTTCTAGAAAAAAAGGACCAAGGAACTACAAGTTACGCTATAATTTCCATTAACACCACCAGTTACTAAACAATCAGCTCGTGCGATAGCATTGCACGACACTGACCGACGGTACTGACGGTCTGCAGCTAACTGGCTACCAGCCAGTACATCAGTACATCTTGGATTCATGCGCACTCCGACAGCCGTCTAACTTGGAAGGTTCTAAGTTAATAATTATGACAAAAGAGGGGAAGGTGAGCCCAATCTAGACATGCACGAACTGAAATTCTCAGCTGTGAAGGACGTTGACAGATGTTCATACATGTGGAAGACGATACTGACAAGAACATTGGACAACACGGTAAACCACGATTCAAGGACGCAAAGCAACGTTCCACGCCCCTTGTTTGGCTCAAAGATGCGAAGATCAATATAAGGGGAAGCTATGCGAGCGAGGATCATGCAAAGCCTAACGCCTCAGTAAAACAGTACTGTACTTCGACTATGACAGTTTATATGGACAATAAGCAGCGGTGACAAGCAGCAGTTTTACACGACGATCGTCTCGTCGTATACTATAGTGTAGTAGATAAAGACGGCTCTTCAGGTGTGCAAGAATCCGTCACAGTTTGTTTCTGTTCTAATTGTTGGTGTTGCTATTATTCAATTCGTGCTGTAAACGCGAGCCTGTCCCAATAATAATGCAGGCGAATACAGTCCTATCTATAGCCTATAGGATCAGGGCTAGTGATGCAAAAAGATGATGTTGGGATTTGAAAGGACTAGCCCCACACTGGTTAACAGAGACATCCAAACAAGTAAAAATGAACGTTTTTTGTATGATGATCGCGCAAGCTTAAAATCTAGACATGAAATACAATTGTGTTCCACCTCACTTATGAGTGTGAAGTAAAACAAGCTACAAATTTCACACTTTCAAAAGGTAGGTGTGAGTGCATGATTCGCAGATTTACTAAAGTTAAGCAACGGCTGGATGAATATATTTTCCATTGAGTATTTTGCCATGTTCGTGGCAGAAGATAACAATACATTAACGTATGCTACGAGTGGCACGTCAGGGGATCAAAATGGGGGGCATATCTCCTGAACTTCCAGGAATGAGGTGGAATATAATCCGGTATATACATTGTGAGGTGTTGGAGCGGTAAACAGCAGTACAGGACCTATAAATACACTGATGGAGTGACTGCCCGCAGGGAGCAACGCTCCACTGACATCCGTCGATTCACAGATACCAGTTAGTACGGCCGGTGAATAGCGGTAGCCAGTGTTGGTGTGATAACTTACGATATCGATTTGGCTGGGAACAACGCATTCCTTTCCGTCTATCTGGAAATACCACCTAGAATACCTCGACGACTCGTAAACTGCAATGTTAAAGGAGTGCGTCAATTTCAGGAGGGTGGTATTATGCTTCTTGGTGAACGCAATTGTAGCAATCAAACCATTTGTCCTGAACATCCAACGGTTGTGAAAACTCTGATACTGGATTCCCACCATTCCCGCAGTGCACCGACTAGCTGTAATCTGCATAAGAAAGATGCAAAACCAGACAAAAAGCAGTAGTTCAAGCTAGCTGTTCGACTCAGTACGCTATAACCACAATCAGTTCAGTTGGTTGGTTGAATTCTCAGTCTCTGTCTGTCTCAGTCTCAGTCTCAGTCTCTGTCTCTGTGTGTCTCTGTCTCTCTCTCTCTGTCTATCTCTCTGTCTCTCTAACTCTGTCTCTGTCTCTGTCTCTGTCTCTCTCTCTCTCTCTCTTTCTCTCTCTCTCTCTCTCTCTCTCTCTCTCTCTCTCTCTCTCTCTCTCTCTCTCTCTCTCTCTCTCTCTCTCTCTCTCTCTCTCTCTCTCTCTCTCTCTCTCTCTCTCTCTCTCTCTCTCTCTCTCTCTCTCTCTCTCTCTCTCTCTCTCTCTCTCTCTCTCTCTCTCTCTCTCTCTCTCTCTCTCTCTCTCTCTCTCTCTCTCTCTCTCTCTCTCTCTCTCTCTCTCTCTCTCTCTCTCTCTCTCTCTCTCTCTCTCTCTCTCTCTCTCTCTCTCTCTCTCTCTCTCTCTCTCTCTCTCTCTCTCCCTCCATCTCGGTCTCTGCATCTCTCAGTCACCCACACTTCTCTCGCTCCTTTACTATTCCCCTCTCAAGATCCATTGCTCCATTTCTGTCCCTGTCCATCTGTCCACTGTTTCTAACTATCTCTGACTCTAGCACTCCCACACTCTCTCGCTACCCACGGTTATCTGACTCCCTGTCCTTTCTGCAAAGTCCTCTTAGTGCCTCTTGCAGTAAAATTAGCCCGCGTGTTCATGTCACATTGTGTCTGCCTATCTATCTATCTATTTATCTATCTATCTATCTATCTATCTATCTATCTATCTATCTATCTATCTATCTATCTATCTATCTATCTATCTATCTATCTATCTATCTATCTATCTATCTATCTATCTATCTATCTCTCTGTCTGTCTGTTCGTCTGTCTATCTGTCTATCTAGCTATCTATCTCTCTGTCTGTCTTTTCGTCTGTCTATCCGTCTATCTATCTATCTCTCTGCCTGTCTATTCGTCTGTCTATCTGTCTATCTGTCTATCTATCTATCTATCTATCTATCTATCTATCTATCTATCTATCTATCTATCTATCTATCTATCTATCTATCTATCTATCTATCTATCTATCTATCTCTCTGTCTGTCTATTCGTCTGTCTATCTGTCTATCTATCTATCTATCTATCTATCTATATATCTATCTATCTATCTATCTATCTATCTATCTATCTATCTATCTATCTATCTATCTATCTATCTATCTATCTATCTATCTATCTATCTATCTCTCTGTCTATTCGTCTGTCTATCTGTCTATCTATCTATCTTTCTATCTCTCTGTCTGTCTATTAGTCTGTCTATCTGTTTATCTATCTATCTATCGATCTCTCTGTCTGTTTATTCGTCTATCTATCTATCCATCTATCTATCTATCTGTCTCTCTGTCTGTCTGGTCGTCTATCTGTCTGTCCCTCTGTCTGTCTATTCGTCTGTCTATCTGTCTGTCTGTCTGTCTATCTATCTGTCTATCTATCTATCTATCTATCTATCTATCTATCTATCTATCTATCTCTCAATCTATCTTTCTATCTATCTATCTATCTATCTATCTATCTATCTATCTATCTATCTATCTATCTATCTATCTATCTATCTATCTATCTATCTATCTATCTATCTATCTATCTATCTATCTATCTATCTCTCTGTCTGTCTATTCATCTGTCTATCTGTTTATCTATCTATCTATCGATCTCTCTGTCTGTCTATTCGTCTATCTATCTATCCATCTATCTATCTATCTATCTATCTATCTCTCCGTCTGTCTATTCGTCTGTCTATCTGTCTATCTATCTTTCTATCTATCTCTGTGTCTGTCTATTCGTCTGTCTATCTGTCTATCTATCTATCTATCTATCTATCTATCTATCTATCTATCTATCTATCTATCTATCTATCTATCTATCTATCTATCTATCTATCTATCTATCTATCTATCTATCTATCTATCTATCTATCTATCTATCTATCTATCTATCTATCTATCTATCTATCTATCTATCTATCTATCTATCTATCTATCTATCTATCTATCTATCTATCTATCTCTCTGTCTGTCTATTCGTCTATCTATCTATCTATCTATCTATCTATCTATCTATCTATCTATCTGTCTCTCTGTCTGTCTGGTCGTCTGTCTATCTGTCTTCTCCCTGACGGTTGTCTGCCTGTTTTTGTTTTTCTGCATGATATGAAAAACTCTACATGCACCGTTCTCAATTCGAGCGGTCTCTTTGCTGCAAATTACTCATCCTGCAATCAAATTTTCAATCAATTCTTTCCCATTCCTGAAACAAATTCTTCCTTCTGCATAATATTTTTAATTTTATTAGTCTCAACAAATTAACAAGTTAGTTTCAAATTCCAAATAATTTCTGATCGACGCATTCTGTGAGTATTCTCAAATGTGACTGGTTCTCCACGGGACCGACGCGGTGCGACTGCGACATGTCTCACCTTGACGAAGAATCAGATCGTACTCGTCTGAGCAACATATGAGCGACTTCAAGCACCTAAAAATATATCGAGATCGCAATTTCCCCAAAAACAGATATACTCGTCTTTAGGAATCCAGCTATACCTTTACAAACGGATATATTCGTCCTTCGTCCTCAAAGGGTTAAGCTTTGTCGCTGTAACTCGTTCTCCCTGTATAGTTTCGGGTGGCTCTGCCTGGATTGGTTTCTTTTTAGTTGGAATTTTGCAGGAATCCAGTGCCTTTATTCCCTTGCACAGCTCTACCTAGGCAGAAGCAGTGTCAATTGAAGAATTGAATCTCTCTAAAGTTGAGTAGTGTCGGTCTTCTTTTCCACTGGCTATTACGATGTCCTATTTCGTTATCATCAGGCACTAACCGTGACCCAAAATAATCACTTACGGAGTTCATTTCTTTGTGCGCCGTTAGCTGTGCTTCGACCTCCTGTATCCTCATCTCGAGGCGCTGGTATTTGTCTGCATAGTAACAAACAACGAATACAAGCATCCTATGTGATTATACAAGAATTGAAGGTGGCCCCCGAATGTCTTTCATCATCCATTATGCATTGCCTCTCAGGGTTAAATTCTCGTTTGACTGTTCCGGACTAGTAGCAGTACTTTCACACTTTAGTATTCCTTATCGGCGTCTCGCCATCGTGAAGTAAAAGAAAATTTCTGCCCAAACGTCTACCAGTACTTCTCTCCGCTGGCATAATAGGCATAGGGTGACTATCGACGACATGCAAATCCTATTGCATTATGGTTTCAGCTAGCAGTTCCGAGCAGGGGGCAGCGGAAAACGAATTCTACTCTCAACAACCTACCAGGACACTGTCCCTGACACTGGATTGGTACGGCTATGGCCATGGAAAACAATATCCAATACGAAGACAGCATTGTGAAGCCAAGTGCAGTTTGGGACAAGGAAGAAAAAAACTCAAAGCAGCTGAAATCGTTACAGTGCCTCAATAAACTAGCAGACGTCGAACGGCTGCATAAAACCCACCTGCAAAAATGTTCCGACATTCGTGCTGCAGGTCGCAAGCAGTAGCTTGAAGGTGCTGCAACTAGCCTGATAAACGGACTGCTGCTGTGGAGTGATATTATTCTGCCAGCTGCAGTGAAATGGATGCAGAATAGATTGATTGATTTCAGCCTGCAGTAATCGAGGCTTGCTTGCTCTAAACGTTGTGTACGTAACTCGTTGCATTAGCACCGTTGGAAACTTGAGACAATACACAGAAAACAAGGGCTATCTCTTATTGGCGCTGGTGCCATCGTGAGAATATAGAAATCACAAAGAAAGGCAATCAAGGCTAGTTTAGTAGTTAGTCGAGTCGCTACTCCGAGTTTCATGCTTACGCATTCACCAGGCAGCATGACGATGCCAGTGCACTGCCCAACCGGTATATTGATGTACAAAATGTACATGTACATGACTGTACGCCAGGAGAGGTATTGGTGGTTCTGGAGTTGTGGTTTATACCACCCTTTTATACAAACTCTCGTTCAATGTCAACGGAGATTTCAAGTTTATATTTTCATGCATCTCTATAAGTATAACTACATGTACATGTATACTATTTGAAGTGTGCAACAACATGACATGTTGATTGTTGAACATTGTTCTTTCTGCTTACATAGCACAGCTTCACTTGTACGAATAGACAGCTTCCAGGCAAGGCATTCCGGACTGGACACCAACATGTAGATGGCAGACTTCCTCTTGTCGATATCGAATTCCTCCTCGTCAGTGCTGCTCTCATCCTCCACATCTGGATCCCTCTCGCCTTTGCTGTCCTCTTGACCATCCCGTTCATCATCATTAATTTTAAATGACTGTACAATGTACATGTACGCGATCGCGCGAGTAGTGCGAAAAGTGAATTATTTGAGAGTGGTACCGGTAGCCCGTGCGCGAGGTAGATGAATGTGGCAGCTGTGTGTGTGTGCGTGCACGTATGTGGACAAAAATGGTGAGTGCGCATTATTTGAGTGTGAGTGCTATTGAAATCCAGTCGATTGACTGGGACCCGCGCTGTCAGAGCGTACAGAACAGTGCACAGTCATGCGACCAGGGAGCTGCAGCGCGTATGTGTGTACTGCTTTTCCACGGCTGCAAGGCCAGCGCCCTGGGGCCGTTAAACGTGCGACCGGATTTCCATGTCCACGGCAGTATACATAATTTTCGTTCTGTTACATAAATGTACACTGTACATGTACATGTAGCACAGGTTCAGGTGCACGAATATACAATGTACATGTACATGTAGACAGCTTGCAACACGTGCGGAACAAAATACCAGTACATGTAACAAATTCACCATTGTACACGCACGCACACACAGCTTCCACATTCATCTACCACGCACTGCCATACTCAAAATTCACTGCTCAAGTAACAGTTATCAGTTCACACTGCTCGCGTAAACGACGCTATGTGTAACCGCGAGCTGCTACATCCCACGCTACTTGAGATATTCTTCTTCTAGCTAGATGACGTACAACTGGTTGTTTAGTTATTCTTACTTTGTGCTGATGTTCCATTGGCCATAGTCGATAGAAAACGTTCTGGAATGTATATCGTTTTAGTAATTCTTTTACATGTGTACATGGACTCGGATGGAGAGCCACGGGTACATTTATAGGAAAGAAAAAGGACCAAGGACCTACAAGTTACGCTATAATGTCCACTAATACCACTAGTTACTAAACAATCAGCTCACGCGCGATAACATTGCACGACACTGACCGATGGTACTGACGTTCCACAACTACGTGTACATGTACATGTAACCGGCTATCAGCTGAGCACATCTTGAATGCGCGCTCCAACAGCCGTCCAACTACTTGGAAGGTTCTAAGTAATTAGTTTTAAATAATGATAAAAATAGGAGGAGAAGGTGAGCGCACCCAAGACAAGCAGGAGATGAAAGTCTCAGCTGTTTGAGGACGTTGGTAGATTTAGATGTAGATGTACATGTACATGCATGTTGCCTGTTGATGACGATACTGTCACGACCATTGCACAATACGGCTAAACCACAATTAAAGGATGCAAAGCAACATTCCACGCCACTTGTGTGGCTCAAACATGCGAAGACCAATAAAAGGGGAAGAAGCTATGCGAACAAGAATCATGCAAAACCGAACTCCTCAGTATTAAAAACAGCTCTATACTTTGACTATGAAAATTGAGATGGACAATAAGCAGCGGTAACAAGCAACAATTTCGCACGACGGTCAAAACGTCTAGCCAGTAGTTGTAGAACGTCAGTACCGTCGGTCAGTCTCGTGCAATTTTATTCAAATAGGGCTTTCAAATGCAAAAATCATAACGTGAAGCAACTTGGAAGAATGAGTATCTATGCGAAGTGTATCGGGGGAATGCATGCAGGGCGATAGTGCGGGTTCGAATCCCAGGTTACTTCAATACATGTATGCCACGGCAGCACAAGCAGAATCGCTTAACGTTTTCCACCGGAAGCAGCTCCGACAGCTCATTGGCATAGTCTACCCAGCCAGGATATCAAATACTGAGCTGTATGAGAGGTGCAACACGGAACCACTATCTGACATCGTGGACAGGAGAAGATGGCAGCTAACCGGCCATATTCTCCGTATGGACAGGGATGCGCCGCCATGGATCGCGCTGACGGGCTATTTTGCGGGAGATGCCAAGGCTGGGCGTGGACGGCCAAGGACATCCATTGCGACGCGCATCACAAGCGACTTACAGAGGAGGAACATCGACTTGAAGCGCAGCAGTCAGCTGGGAATGTGAGGGCCATCGCTCTGGACAAGCCTACATGGAGAAATCTGGCCGACAATCCATGATCTGGCGTCACAGGTCATCAGTGCGCCGTGTTAATAATAATTACCTTGATAATGGAATTTGATCATAGGAGATAGGACAGAAGCGGAACGTATAATTATACCCACATAATTACATTATTACGCGTGCTGTGGTATTATTATTATTATTATATCTTGAAAAAAAACCGAAATAGGAAATATGAAAATTTTATAACATCATCATAAGAGAGAGAGTTTGGAACCTTTTGGAACCTTTTTTTGCCTATGTCATGAAGGTGGTGGACGGTGATGAGCTAGCCAAAAAAAGGATAGCGTAGGGCCCTGAGCTTCCAAGCTCACTCGTAACCGAACATGTAGTTCATCTTGTATTTCATCGGCCATTTTTCATCAGTCATTTTTCTTTGCTATACATGTATACGTGTACATGTACATGAATACGTGTACATGTACACGTATACATGTATATGTACACCTACATGTACATGTACATGTACATGTACATGTACATGTACATGTACATGTACATGTACATGTAAATATGTACGTGTACACAATCTGCGGACAGAACTGTTTCGTCCTTTGTGGACTCGTCAGCGCAGCACAGAGGAAATGAGGCCGAACCTGATAGCAATGGAAATAAAAATTTCCAATCAGGTCCGAACGTACCTTGCCAGAGTGCTCAAACTGACAAGTCAGTGAGCTCTGCATAACGCAAACAGCAAAGGCACTACCCCACGCAGGGGCGGATACAGGGGGGGGGGGGGTTCAGGGGGTTCGGACGAACCCCCTAAAATTATTTCGACCATGGGTCCAGTCGATTTTTTTGTGATATCCCCGTGCGCAGCCAGCGAAGTGTAGCGTACATGACATGGTAGATCTACATGCAGCGTAGCCAGTAGACTTCACTGGCATGCATCCTGCATGCAGTAGTCACGCACAGGCAGTGCAGGTACTAGGTCACTGCATGCATGCAGTGGTCGGGACATTAGTCTGTAGTAGTACTAGTAGTAGACCCGGGTGCGCGAATGAGAAACAGGGTACCAAAACAGAAACAGCCTGAAATTGTACCTAAACTTATTCCGATTTCGTCTATTTTTCACAAATACCACCAACATACGGCCCTCTAGCGGTATGCCAAATTTCAGCGCTGCCCGGTAAACGGTTTTTGAAATACTCGCGACCCACTTTTTGCTGGGCCTCGATTCGGAGGAAATGGGTCACATCGCGACGAAAAGGTCACCAGGAGGCCTGGCTAAAAAGACTAGACTCACCCAAATAACAATATCCAGGCAGACAATTACACAGACCAAATGTTCAAGTCTAAACATCCATGGCTGCGACACCCAAACATGAGTATTCGCAATCCAAATGTTAGGTTCCACCATGTCTCGATTTTCTGGCGGGAAAGCTGCAGCAAGAAAAAGAGACGATTCGACACCACTACACTGGCACCCATGTCTCTGTCAGAATCGCCAAGGATCCTGGAGAAACTTCTTCTCCGCGCCATGAACAGATGAACGAACACAAAAAGCACTCCCAGATACAAAATATGCTCAGATCGCTCGTGTTGGAGATGGAAGACGCAATAAAAGCCGTCCAAGGGGGAGCTTCAATCCGTGTGGCCAGTGAGCAGCACAATGTGAAGATGTCGACCCTGTACGGCCGACTAACTGGCAGAACTCACATCAGAGGCCGCCCGTCAATTATTCCAAGGGAGAAGGAGAAGCTATTGTCGAACTACGCCAAGTCAATGGCTGATATGGGGTTCGGCTTGAGTAGAGGTAAGCAAGGTAGCAGCTAGCGATACCGCTCGTGCAACTATTCGAAACACGTGCACGTGAATTTGAATTATTTTGGCGCGAAATCGTATGCATGCATTTGAAGCAAGCACGTGCACAATAATCCCTGCATGCGCATTATGTACATGTACGCACGTACCCGTGCATCCCGCACTTGGTAGTAAGTCACAGACACATACCAGTTATAGCATAGGCTTATATTCATAGGGCTTGACAAAAATGAATATACACTGTGCCGGTATAAACAATAATAATAACAATAATGACCATCGTGTTTCGAGGTCTATGGATTGACCAGCTTCCCAAAAAACATTCGAGAACTACAAAACCGAGTGGAGATGAATCCGAAAATCCTGCACCAAAACATGACATTGGCATAGCGGCCAAAGCCACTACAATCACACCACATACATTACTAGTACACACCCTTAATCGTTTTCATGGCATTTAGGTCAATAAAATGTCAATACAAGTTGTAAATTGAAATATTGTTTTCTCTCTTGTACTTCACTACAGCATCCATACAAGCCCTGGCAGCTGATTTAGTGAGACGTGAGACAGGCCAGGAATGTCCCAGTCTAGGGAAAGGCTGGTGGCGAGGATTCAAGCGACGACATCCCGAGATTTGTGTGAGACGGCCACGTTCCCTCGAAGAGGCACGGGCCAGGAACGCCAGTGCAGATACCCTTCACCAGTTCTACGACGTCCTGGAGAAGACGATAAGCACCTACAAGCTTCAGCCAAATCATATTTGGAATTGTGATGAAAAGGGTTTCAACCCGGACCCCCTGCCCAGTAATGTCGTGGCCAGTCGGACCAGCCGGGCAACACATCAGCAGCACAGGAAATCCCATGATCACATAACGGCCAATGTGTGTGTGAGTGCAGCTGGCAACAGCATGCCACCGCACATCATCTACAATCGAAAGCAGCTGTCACCTGCACTTGTTGCAAACGGGCCACCGGGTGCGGTGTACAGCACCAGCACCAGCGGTTCGATGGACGGCGAGCTGTTCCAGGATTGGTTCGCCAAAGTCTTCCTGGCCAACACCAGCCGGGACACGCCGCAGCTCCTGATCATGGACAACCATGCCAGCCACCTGAAGGTGGCAACGTTGGACATGGCCAGGAGCAGCAATGTGATCTTCCTTGCCCTGCCGTCAAAGACTACACATGTCTTGCAGCCGCTAGACAAAGCAGTGTTCAGCAGCCTTGGGCAGCATTATCAGTCAGTGTCAGCTGCAGCCCGTCTGGTTAAGCCTGATCATAAGCTCACAATTGCGGACTTCCCCAAGATTTTCACCGAGGCGTATGTGAAGGCGGTCACCCCGGCGAACATTCTGGCCAGCTTTAAACAAACTGGCATTAGTCCACTGGACCGCCTCGCTGTTCCGCCTGCTGCTCTTCTGCCGTCGACTGTCCATGTGGCCACAGCCCAGCCTGAAGCCAACGTTATTACCCCTGAAGACAGTGACGACGATCTGGTAGCACAGGAGCCTGACATTGCTGCAGCAATTCCAGGACACAGTGTCCATCCACTAGCACAATCGATGGTATCGGCGGGAATACTCAGCGAGAACACTGTTCAGCTATTCCTGACTCCTGTTGTGAGCCACAGTCGTCTGCCGTCTGCTGCTGCTCAAGCTCGGACGCTTACCGCAGATTCCGTATTCGAAGCCCTGCAGGAACGCGAAAGACAAAAACAACAAAAAGCTGCTGAGAAGGAGGCGAGACAACTGCAGCGTACGCAGAGGCGAGCACGGCCTTGTACGGCAGCAGAAACCGCATCCGCAGCAGAAGCCACGCCGCCAGCAGAAGCCACGCCGCTAGCAGAAGCCACGCCGCCAGCAGCAGCCGTTCTGCCAATCGATTGTGCTCTGTGTGGGTCTCCAGGTGCTGAGAAATGCACACGGTGTGAGTTTGCTTTCCACAATGAGTGCACCTTGGCTGTTTCTTCTTCTGCCGGATGCCTCAACTGCGGCCCTCCTCTGTGACCAACCACTAGTCTACTGAGTTCCATGCGCTTTCAATTCATAAAAAAAAATTTTTTATTGATGCTCTCCACTGAGTTATACTACATAAAACTGTGCGTGCTTTTCACAGAACTAAACCTATGATGGTATGTCCCTTCTTTGCCAGTTTTCTCTTCATAACCAAAGGTCACTTCTATCCAGGACTCCTTGCAATTCCAATACATCTTTCGATACAAATTTCGAAATCGATGCAAATTTTGTTTGAGTGTTATTTCCTCGAACACATCAATCTGAAGGGTAGCAACAGTTCCAGTTCCAACAACAAACTATTATACTTATATGTACATGCCTTCAATAGCTCGTTTGACCATCGGCAAGAGGAGCTGATCTGCCGTTTCTGATTTGAGCACCCAATTTTCAAATAAAAAATCGTACGAAATATGACAATTTTACTGCTTACCGTAGCTCATGTTGTAGCGCATCCAGGTTCTGAATCCTTGCTGGGTGGGCCAAGCTAGACTCTCTTCCTCGTTCCATCGCCTCTCCCAAGTATATTTCTGATTTTGTTGAGACTAACGGACGAGAAATTTCAAACCTGTCAAATCGTTTCTGATTCGAGCACCCGGGTCTACGCGTACCGTTCGAATCGAAGGGTCTGTACGCGTATCATGTGGCTTGAAACGATCGACAGTTCAAGTGGTGGAGCAAAAGGTGGAAAAACTGCCACTTGTCCTCCTTCCTTGTCGTTTTGTTTTATTTCGCGCTGGCTGGACTGCAGGTTCCCTCCGTCGCAGTACCAAGATAATGTTTGTGTGTGTCGTGTAGTTTGCCATGTCGCGTTGGAGGAAAAGGTGGAGAAACTACCACTTGTCCTCCTTACCTTCCTTGTCGTTTTGTGTTATTTCGCGCTGGCTGGACTGTAGGTTTCCTCCGTCGCAGTACGAAGATAATGTTTGTGTTTGTCGTGTAGTTTGCCATGTCGCGGTGGAGCAAAAGGTGGAGAAACTGCCACTTGTCCTCCTTACCTTCCTTGTCGTTTTGTTTTATTTCGCGCTGGCTGGACTGTAGGTTTCCTCCGTCGCAGTACGAAGATAATGTTTGTGTTTGTCGTGTGGTTTGCCATGTCGCGACGTCTGCCAAAGAGGCGAGCGGCCGATCAGTTGCCATTGCCGCATTGGGCTTGGCTTCGTTCCGCCGTGTACGACGCGAATGTGACGACACGCAGTCCCAGCCGGAGGACAGTCAGAGAACTTCGCCTTCCGTCAGTTCGGAAAATGCTGCAGTCACGGCCTTAGTTTCTGCCTGTGCTGCATGCAGCTTTTGTTATGTTCTCATGCACACCACTACTACTAGACAACAGGAACTAGTTTGGTGACAAGATAATAGAAACTAAATATTTACATTCTCAAGTGAGGAAGAAGAGCAAGGAGAAGAACACATGAATCCAGAATATGGATGCGTGCATGCGTCCAATAGAGACATGACGTAATCACGTGAAGCAAGGCGTATAACGTAACAATACGCGTTATGCGGGTGATAACAACTTGAAGTACATGCGCAATACATGAGTAGCTAGCATGATACATCACGTCCCTTCTGAGATAGAAATATAACAATTACATTTACATACATGTATCTCACGCCCCTTCTGAGATGACAACAAGGCATCTAATACCAACTAGAAAGGACGGCAAAGCAGATAGAGATAACTGAATACGAAAATAGCTGAGCTCAACAAGAGGCAGAAAGACGCACAGGCAGCTAATCATAAGTTTGGCCACGAGTGTTCGAAATATTCAGCCTAGACGGGGGTTGGCGGTTTCGCTGACTGCGCCGGACTGGCGGGGCAGGCTGAGTGATGGGGGTAGCAGGCATCGGCTGTGCAGGTGCTACGGGCAAGACAACAGGACGAAGAAAGCGACGGTTTCGCCAGTATATTCGGCCACTGGGAAGCTTGACCATGTAGTCGCGGTGGCTCACAATGGCGACAATGGTACCGCGGGCGTTCCACAACTTGCTGCGGGGATCTTGTAGATCCACAGGGCAACCAAGGTGGAGGGCAGGCAGAGAACGGGCAGACTGGTTGTAGTGCTGACTGGCTGCTTCAGACTGGGCAGAGGCACGACTGTCGATTTCGTCAGCGGTTTCTTGCCACGCTGGGGCAAAACTGGTCCGGTGGGCAAGCACGAATGACGACAGGGGGCGGCCAAACAGGGCCTGCGCTGGGCTCTGACCGGAGCTACGGGGAGTGTTACGCCATTCCAATAAGCCACGACGGAAGGCGTCGACATTAATGTCTCCGTTGGTGGTGGTCTTGTACACGAGAGATTTGATGGCCTTGACAGCCGCCTCCGCATGGCCATTAGATTGTGGGTAATGCGGACTGGATCTGACGTGGCGGACTTGCCAACGCTGACAGAAGGCGGAGAAACGCTGCGCTGTAAACTGCGGACCACCATCACTCGTCAGGACAGCTGGGACACCGAGATCCGCGAACCAGCCTCGGAACGCACGGACTACGTCAGCGGAGGTGGCGGTGCGTCCTATCTTGGCAACACAGGGCCAGCCGGTCTTGCGGTCCACGTATACCAGGAACTGGTAGCCTTGGCATTCGAACAGATCCGCGCTGGTGCTCTCAAACGGGAGGGCAGGACAACGATCCTCAGTTGCCAACAGCGGTTCCTTCACTTGGGAAGGTGCGTGGTGACGGCATTCAGCGCAGCTGCGAACGATATTGTCAATGTCGTTGGACAGCTGGGGCCAATACACCACCTGGCGAGCACGAGCCTTGGTACGGTTGAGACCTTGATGAGCAGCATGCAAGTCGTCAAGCACACTACGCCTGAGGGAACGCGGGACCACAATGCGAGGACCTTTCAGTACCAGGTACTGGTCGACTGTAAGATGATGACGGACTGTCCAATACGGCTGGGCAGCAGGACATAAGTCGCGTTTGTCGTCGGGAAATCCGTTCCGGACGGTGGTGAGGAGTGCCTGATAATCCGAGTCAGCTCGAGCGGCTTCTTGCAATTCGGCAAACCGGAGATTGGCAATCTGGCCTTCGGTGTCTTTCCGAATGCAAGCGCGTATGGCAGGAGTACGAAGGGCTGGGTGTTCACCGAGCTCATCGTCAGGGGTGGGATCATCCACTGGATTGCGGGACAGCGCGTCGGCGAAAGCGTTGTCAGTACCCTTACGCCAAGTGGCATGCAGCTGGTATGGACGAAGCTTCATGACCAGGCGTTGGAGCCGGGGATTCTCAATCTGATCGAGCGAGTACGAGTTGATGATTGGTGTGAGGGGCCGGTGGTCGGTGACAAGCTCAAACAATGTACCGGCGAGGTAGAGAGAACATTTCTTCACCGCCCAGACGACAGCTAGGAGCTCCAGTTCGATGACAGCATACCGGGATTCTGGATCCGACAGAAATCGACTGCCACACTGGAGAATGCGCCACTTGCCATCTTGCAACTGCCACAGAACGTAGCCAAGGCCATGCAAAGCAGATGCATCGGTCTCTAGGCGGAGTGGCTGGTCACGTTGGAAGAATGACAGCGTTGATGGTGACAACAGCTCAGCCTTGGCAGCGTTGACTGCGTCTGTGTGAACTGAGTCCCATACAAACTCGTTGGACGTCTTGAGCAATGGGCGCAACGGGGCGGCGTGCTCAGACAGGTGCGGGGTGAACTCACCACACTGGTTGATAAGACCCATAAACGATCGGAGATCAGTGCGGTTGCTGGGAGCTGGAAACTGGCTGATAGCTTTGACCTTGGCATCATCGACGGTCCAGCCGTCAGCACTGATGCGGTAACCACAGAACTCCACGGCTGGCATGCCGAACACAAACTTCTTGGCGCTCAGAGTAATGCCATTCTCCCGGGCGCAGAGCAGGACATCCCGGACGTGAGATCGGTGGGTGTTCAGGTCATTATCGTAGACGAGGCAGTCATCAACGACCTTCTGGAACTGGGAGATATGAGCGAACGCGGCGTCGGTGCGGCGATTAAACTCGTCTCCGGCAGAGACCAATCCTTGTGGGTTGCGTAGGTACCTGTACCGACCCCAAGGTGTCATGAACGTGGTCAACGGACGGGAGGCCTCGCTCAGAGGAACTTGCCAATAGCCGTGGCGGGCGTCTAGCTTGGTGAAATATCTTGCGTTGCCAACGCTGGATACAGCGTCACGAGGGCTTGGTGCGGGGTGAGCAGGGCGTTCGACTTGGTCGTTGAGCTTTTTGAAATCAACGGTGAGCCTCTTCTCGTTTGTCCCCTTCTTGTCCACGATGACAATTGGGTGACACCACGCACTGGGTTCGGTGACCTCCTCGATGATGGCATCCCGGACCATGTCATCCAGCTGGGACTTCACTTGGTCACGGTACGCATGCGGGATCTGGCGGGCATGATATGCAGCGACAGGCTTAGCATCAGCTCGCACTCTAATTTCCATAGGTCCACCAAGCATTGGCTTCAACACAGAGTCATCAAAGACGTCAGCGAATTCAGCTAGGAGTTCGGCTCTCATCGTCTCTGAGTCGGTGGCTTTGGGCACAACCTTGTCCGCAGGTGCATCGGGAACGACCGGTGAGACTACCTGTTGGACTGCTGCGATTTGCTTTGGCCAGCCGGACGGCAAGTATCCCAGGGCCTGCAAGGATGAACGGGACAGGAGGGCATCAGTCAAACCATCATAGACATGAATGGTGGACGTGTGCTGGTTTGGTCCACAACTGAGGGTCGCCGAAATCTTGCCAACAGGGTTGAGACTGGCGCCATCTGCGGTACGAACATCGTCGATGTCGTCAAGCAGGTTCTCGACAAATCCGCCTAACTGGTCAAGGTGTTGAGTGCCGATGGCATCAACGTCGCTACCAGTATCCGGGAGCCAACTAAGAGCAACGGGCTCTGGCTCGGTCACAAGCTGGGTGGCAACGGAAACTGTTGCGTCGTCCAACAGAGATGCTCGGTTGAGTCGCAAGTGTGCGATCTTGGACGACTTGTCCGGCTTCTTGGCAGGCCTGCGGCACATTGCCCGGAAGTGACCCGTTCCATTACAGTTAAGGCACACTTTGTTGATCGCGGGACACGGCGATTTCGTGTGCGCTGTGCGTCCGCAGTTACGGCACTTATCACGAGCAGAAGTGTGCTTCGCCTCAACTGGGGGCTGTGAAGCTAACTTCGCGTGCTGATAAGACGACTTCCTGGCAGCATTGACTTGGCCGGCGGTAGGGATGTGGTGGCTGGTCTGTGTGGCTGCCTCTTCTGCACGACACACCTTGACTGTCGCCTCCAATGTCAGGTCAGAGGTGGACAACAGTTTGTGACGGGTGGTGTCGTCCAGGATACCGATCACAATGCGGTCTCGCATCATGTCCGCGTGGACCCGTGCAAGATTAGTTTTGCACGTAGAACAGGCACGTGCCGAA